GCTGCCTTGGTGAAGTTGACCACATTTCCATGATGGGCCAAGGAAATAAGGGGAGTCACCGTGACCTGGGCGTGAGCACCTCAGCACTAGCTTCCCCTTAGCGGTGCCTGCTCAAATGCTGACCAGAACTACAAAGGAAACCCACTGGTTTGCAGACACACACAGGCTTCCCTTTCTGGAAAATCAGGAGATCTGTTCTTCTCCAGGACTAGGGCACCTCTTCTTTTGTCCAGTTTTCCAAAGATTATCTGCAGCAGCAGCAGTGGAAAAAGTTTAAGAAGCCCTAGTCTAGATCAGGGCTTCTTAAACTTTTTCTGCTCTTGACCCTTTCAGGGCTTCTTAAACTGTGGGTCAGGACCCCATTTGGGCTTCTGACTCATAGTTTAAGAAGCACTGGAGAGAGCCCAAGGCTGGGAGTGGTCTGGTATAGAGAGATTTTCTCCGTGCAAGGGTAATGTGACATCAGCTCCTCATTGGAAGGGTATATAAACTGGGAGCCCTTTACCATGAGTGTCTAGGAGAGTCATCCTTTTATTAATAACCTGCTGGCCTTATGAATAAAATCATTAAATTATCCAGAAACTGTCTCTTGAACTTTGTTAATTGTCACAGGTGATTGATGATGCTGATAGATAATGTTTTTAACTGTTTGCCTCCCAGCTAAGGCAGGGAAGGTAAAGCAGGGAGTGTCTTTATATCCCCCTTGGTGACTGGTGATGGTCACAGTGCTTTGCACTTAAGAATGAATGCAAACAGCATCCACAGGGCAATATGCTTTGCCAGGGACCTTAAATACTAGGCTAAGGGGCTAACCTCATAGGTTACTAGGCTAGCCTCATCTGAAGGCAATGGAGAGACATGGGGAGAACGGCTTCTGACCCAGATCCAGCCATAGTGTTGTAGGAGGAATCGGAGAGGCAGACTAGAAGCTGGAAGACCAGAGAGGAGACTGGTCAGGACTGAGGTGATGAGGACCTGGAGCTGGTGGGAGAAGGATGTCAGAAACGAGAGGGAGGGGAAGGATAAAGCCCCCTCTGATACACTCATCATGGAATGTTTCACTCTATTATTTCTGTTTTGGTCAAATGCCCTGGCCAGACTCTAACCTCCACAGAAGGAACAATCTCACTTAAACTTTGCATCTCCCCTCAATGATCGGGACAGGCCTCTGGTGTTTATGTCTGTCCTTCTTGCTTGAAGAGTATCCCAACATCAGGAAGATGAAGCCGTGATGTGCAAGTGAATTGGACGGAAGTCAGGGAGGGCCATACACGGTCACCAGCCTCACTTTCTCCTCTGGAGCCATGTGGGTTGTCGACCTGAAAGTTGGTAAAAGAGACGACAAACTAGGTGATAAGTAAATTCATCTTGTTTTATTCCCTTAAGTTAGCAGCATGTAACATGTTATATGGAGGCAGAGCTTTAACTCTGACGGAATCAAGCAATTTTTGGAGGACATTGAAACCCTGACCCAGGATGTCCGTGTTACTCAGTTTATGATCTCCATTTGTTTCACCAGAGTATGAGAAAGGAAATTTAAACAAGATAGGCAAACGTCAGATCCAGGATATCTGTGTTTCCTTTACCACCATCAAGGCAGTGTCTGGGTCAAAGGTGCCTGAGTGGTCATAAACATAAGAATGCTCTTGATCAACTTTAGCTGCTGACACAGGAAGGGGCATTCTTAGTTCACTCAGAAAGAAAAGATTAATTCAGGTTTTTGGCCCTTACTGGGGCTCAATTGATTTTAAATGATTATCAGGGTCCAGCGGCCAGCTATAGATCAGGCTGACTGGAGATGGTCCCCATTGCTCTGTATACAGTAGGGATGTAAAGTCTGTCAAACAAGTGAATGGGTAACACTAAATGAAGGCAAGGGTGACTCCAAGATTCCACTCTCACCCTCTGCTGTTTAACTTTTACATTATCCCTCTGCTGATCATCATCTCAATGCCCTTCTATTTCACATCTTTGTTCTTACTCAGCACACCTTCTTACCCACCCAAAACTCTGAATATTTTGGAGAGGTGCTACTGCATCCACGCACTTGAAAATTAAATCAAGGTGTGATTGACTCATAATGTAGCATGTCCTCTACAGCTAATTCCCCAACTCCTACCCCAGTGGGTAAGCTAGGTGCCCAGAGGGTGGCTGACTATTTTCTCTTCAATGTTCCAGTGACAATTCTGAGGGGCTGGGGTTTCTACTACAGTTGCTCCTGAGCCCTCACATTGTGAGAGGGGGGTGTTCCACACAGATTATCAGCCAGGCTTAATTAGGTTTTAGAAAGGATATTTTACGAAGCAGGTACAGCAAAAAGTTGTTACAGAAACTTTCCCCCAACTAGGAATGTACTTTCCCTTTGCATTCACAAATCCTTGGGGAGAGTGGGTTCAAACTTAGAGAGCACATTTGGCCAAAGTATAAACTCAAGGCTCTTGGAAATCCTTTTGTCCCTTTGTAGAGTCCTAGAGTTCCCCTTTGTGAACGCTGCGGGGCTCTGAGGCTTGGTGACCTTGTGGAGCCGTGCCCTCAATGTGTCCAGTCTGCTCGAGCTGTACATCTCAGCTCCCCATGCAGGCACTGTTGCCCTAGGTCCACTGCTATCATCGCTTACTAGACCTCCAGAGGTTCTCAAGGACATCAGCAAGTCAACGGGAAGGGAAAGGACAGAAACTCCATCCTCTCTCCCTCAAGGCAACCTCTTTTCAGGAGTCTTTCACTGACAACCACTCAATTGAACTGCTGTGGGAATCTGGGGTTCTGAACAGGCTTGCAGTTAGATGTAGGGCCAAATGCATGCCTGCTTTCAGCCAGTGATTCAAAGTCTCTTTGAGCCTTTTAAAAGAATTCAATAATCATTTATACTTAGTTTACTTTTGAATGACTGCTTCTATGGGCTTCCTATGGTTCTACTAAGGGAGGGAAGCGTGACAATAGTCAGAGGTTTCAAACTGAAGGGGCCTTAGAGACCTTCTCATTCACTCCCTTACCTTTTCCAGATGAGGTACTAAGGTTGAGAAAGATTTAGCTATTTACTTAAGGTCACACAGTTGTAACTAAGCAAAGCCAGTACCAGGTCCTCTGATTTAAAATCCAAGACTCTTTCCAATATACCAGGATCCCTTTTGGTAATAAACAGACATTCATTAAGTACCTACTATGTGCCAGATGCTGTGCTAAGGGTTGGGGACACAAAGAGATGGGAAAGACAGTTCCAGATCTCCTTTTAAAGGCAGCAGAGCAAAGTGATGATTTTGGCTTCAGAGGATTTAGATTTGAATCCCCTACCCTTGTGCCCTGACCAGTCACTTTAACCCCTCAGGACCTCAGTTTCCTAAGGTGGAAGTTGATAAAGAACACTTTCCATTTCTGAGTAGGTGTCCAAGTAGATGGACCTGGAGTCAGGAAGACTCATCTTCCTGAGATCAAATTTGGCCTCTGACACTTACTAGCTGCGTGGCCCTGAGCAAGTCACTTTGCCCTGTTTGCCTCAGTTTCCTGATCTGTAAAAAGAGATGGAGAAGGAAATAGCAAACTACTTCAGTTGCTTTGCCAACAAAACACAAATGGGGATGGGGGGTGGGTCCTGACTAAAAGAGACAGGGGAGGAGGGGAGGGGTAGAGTAAGTTGCTCAACAACCCAGGAAGGTGCACCCCTGGGGACCCAGCCTCAGAGGAGCTCGGCACCCCTCTGCTGGCCCTCCCCATGCAGCCACAGCTAGAGAAGACCCGGAAAGGAAGGTTCTCTTCCAAAAATCCTTGGCCCTCATGTCCAAGGGTGTGACAGCATCACGAAAGCCGGACCTGCAGCTTGACCAGGGGACCCCCTATACGTATCGTCTCCCCCATTAGACGGCGGACTCCCTGAGGGCAGGGACTCTTCTGTTTGCATCCGCAGCCAGCAGCACATAACCCTAGGAGCACAGCACTTGCATTTAATCCATACTCCCTTTATTCATTCATTGGATTCCCCTTCTTTCTTCAGGCCCCTCCCCCTTCCACCCCGCAGCGCCTCGGCCCCCCTTTCCCCACCCCCCTTGTGCAGTCCTAGGTTCTCAACGGTTTCTCAGTATCCTCCCACACCACGCCGTTCGCCACGCCCATCCAAGGCAAGAGCCTACACCTTGCCCCGCCCAACTAGGCTCACGCTAAAAGCAGTCGTCGGACTGCGCCCCGCCCCCAGTATCCGTCGCCAATGACCGCCCTCCGCTCCACAGACACGCCCTCGCGGCGGCCCTAGATTTCCGCCCTGTCCCACTCAGCGCGCACCTTCCTCCCCTTCGCCCCGCCCCCTCCGTCTTCACCAATCCCTCCCTGGCCACGCCCCCTAGTCGTTTTCGCCAATCCCCTACCCGCTCCCTGGAGGCACCTCCCTTCGTTCGCTCCGCCCCCCGCCCCTCCCTCCTGGCTGGTTCCCGCCCCAGGATCCAGGGCTTGTGCCTCGCCCTCCGGCCCTTCCTCCCATGCCCGGGCACCCACTGTTCCCACCCCGGCCCTCCCTTCTGCCCCTCCCCGTCCTGAGTCGCTCCAACCCGCCCCATCAGATCCCTCCACTCGCCCCTAGCCAGACCCCGGTCTTCCTCACGTCCCGGCCCTTGCCGCGAACCCTAGGCTCGATCCGCCCGGCCTGCTGTCCGTCCCCGCCCCCTCCCAGCCCCGCCCCATCTCCCGCTAAGCCCCGTGGGAAGCTCGCCCTCTTCACCGGCCCCTCGGGCGCGCGCCCGCAGGAGAAAGGTGGGGGGAGAAGGGAGCACTCTTCGTCACGCGCACGCCCGCCCCGCCTCCCTCGCTGTCCCCGCCGGGTCCCCGCCCTGCCCCCGCCCCCGTCTCCGCGGCCGTGGTCGCTCTTCTCCTTGCCCGCGGTCTTCGGCATTTCGCCCAGGCCCCTGCCGCGCCTGCGCGTTTGCCGCGCCCGCGCGCCCGCGCGCACTCCCGGGCCCGCGCCTGCCCGGTTCGCGCGGCCGCGCTCTCGGGCTCGCGCCCCCCCTTCTTCCCCTTGCCTTCCCCCTATTCCTTTGCCCTCGGCCGGGTCCCGGGGCCCGACGGAGGGACTGACGGAGCGAGCCCGAGGCGGGAGGCTGGGGGTCGGAGCTGGCGGAGCCTTCGGAGCCGGGAGGAGGAGGAGGAAGAGCAGGGGGGCGCAGCAGCGGGGGTCCGAGCAGCTGCCCCCGAGGCGGCCGGGTGCAGGTAAGGGGGGAGGGGCGCAGCTTCGCGGGGCGGGGGGCTCCCCACCCAGCCAGCGGGAGGCCAACCGCCTCGTTTACAGATGGGGAGACTGAGGCCCAGGGAGGGTGAATGACTTGCCCAAGGTCATACGGGTAGTAGGGCTCCGAGGTAGGACTTGAACCCAGGTCTTTTGAGGCCGGGCCTCGTTATTCGCTCGTACCGGGCGGGGCGGCACTTTACGCACGGTTGCCTTGGGGTTTGAGGAGGGGGATCTACGGGGGTCCACGAGTATTCGTTGAGAGAGGCTGGGGATAGGAGGGCCTGGGGGAGGGGAATGGGTGTGGCGATTTGGAAAGGGAGGGGTGGGGCGGGAAAAGAAGGAGAATCGGGTCCGAGAAGTGGGGAGATGAGCAGAAAATGGCGTGACCATCTTTCAGCCCCCTTTCATTAAGCACCTACTGTGTGCTGAGCTTGGCGGCGGAAGCCCTGCCCCCGGGCAACTTCAGGGGGAGCAGCCCTGAGACCTGACAGTGGATACAAAGTAACCCCCGAATGACGGGGGAAGGGGGGAGGGAGCCCAGAATGTGGAGGAACCGCGACGGGCCCCCTCCCTGAGCTGAGAGTGCCTGGCATTCTGGGAGACTGCACGGAGGCCCAGGGGACTGGGGGAGGGGAGGGGGAGATTAGCCTGGGAGCAGGATGTGGGCTCAGGGTTGTCCTGGGGAGGGGGGCAGGGTATAGGGATGGGGGGGGAGCTGGTAAAAGAAGCAGGCCTTGGGCCCGAGCTGGGTATGAGTGCCGAAGCCGGGGCTTTGAGTTCAAACTGACCATTGGGGAGCAGCTGGGCCCAGGAGAAGGGGGTGGCCCTGAAGGTTCTGGGGTGTGAGAACCGGAAAGCAAAGTGGTGAGAAACCTGCAAGGTCAAGGGAGGCCGGAGCGGAGGAGGGCTGCAGGACCTGGAAGGTCTGGGGAGGGGGGCGCTGCTGTTAGCTCATGGAAAGAGGACTGACTCCCCTCCTGACAGGGTCAGTGGGAGACAGTCTCCCTGGAATTCTGGGTGATGAGTCTGCAGCTAGTAGCCCTTCTTTCCTGTTGTGCCAACGTGGCCCGTTTTTGTCCTGGTGGAGTGAGCTGAGTAAGGCCCCTGGAGCCTCCATCCTTAGAGAGAAGGAGAGCTGGAAGAAGGGAGCTGAGAGGCCATCGAATCTGACACCCTCGTTTTACAGATAGGGAGACTGAGGCCTGGAGGGGTGTCACTGCTGCCTTCCTTGCATCCTGCCCCAGCCCCACCCTCAGCCCTAGTAGTTTTTGGCTAGGTGAAAGTCAGGGTGGCTGGCAGAGAAGGAAGGCATGTTTTCTTTCAAATAGTGGGTTCCTTAAGGTATCTTGTCTGCTTTCTCTTCAGATGGGACAATGGGATTGTTTTAGAGTAGTGAGTGGGGTGGGGGCTGGAGAGGACAGCCTAGCTCCTTCCCTTACAGACCCATTCGGTGCCTGCTGTTGAGTCGATGAATTAGGGGCTGGGGATACCAGGACAAAAACACATAACCCCCTGAGCAATCTGCGGTGGTTGGAGAGGGGGGCCTATTGTCTGGACTGGCATCTAAAGTTGGGGGGCTGCCCTGGTGTGTGTGTGTGAGTGCGACCCCTGAAGTAAACAGGGAGCTGGCCCCGGAGCTGAACAGAATGGGCTGGCCAACTGGCCTTTGGGAAATAGCAAAATTCTCTTAATGACCCCGAGCTTCTCCTTGAAACAGCGGCTCATCTCCTCCATCCCAGCATTATTCTGTCTATCACCGCTGATGGCTTCCAGTCATGGGACACGCAGCCTCTGAAGAATGGAAGCCAAGGCTCAGCCAAAGAGTGGCCAAGGGGCCTGGGATGGGCAGACGGGGTGGGGGTGGGTGGGGCAGTGAGGCAGAAAAAGAATAAAGGATGTGGTCAGAGAAGCATTAGAACAAAGACGACTGGCCGTGGCCAGCCAGCCTGTGGGCTCTATTCGTGTCCTTGGGATAAGCCAGGCCCCCAGGAGGTGGAGTAGGTGCCGTGGTCAACCTCAGGAAGACAGAGACGAGATGCCCTCGAATGGCTTGAGCTGCATTAATGAGACCGGCCATAGCAATAGCCAGCATTTCTTTGGTGCTTTGCTTATGTATCTCAATTTGATCCTCATAACAGCTCTGGGAAGTAGGTACTACAGATGAAGAAACTGAGGCCCAGAGAGAGGTCAAGTGAGTTGGCCAGGGTGCTCCTTGAAGATGTGAAAGGTGTCATGGAGGTAGGATCCACAGGCCTTGGGATTGGAGGCTGGAGGAAAAGAAGGCTGAGCAAGGCCATGGGAGCAGCCTTCCGGAAGTGGAAGGACCCTCGGGGCAGAACCCAGCAGGGCAGTGCAAAGTAGGATCCATAGGCCTTGGGACTGGATTGGAGGCATCAGGCATGCCTCCCAGGTTATTGTGCCAGGGAGGAGGACGGTGTCCTCAGAAACGGGCCAGTTTAGGGGAAACACTGCAGGTTTTATGTTGGGTTTAGATGCTGTTAGATCCAGATGGAGAAGGAGAAGCAGCATGGGGGCTAGAGCCAGAGGCCTTCGCTCACGTCCTGGCTTTGCTAGAACAAGTCACTGGGTGTCTGGGAGCCTCTGAGGGGCCTTCCAGCTGTGAGTCCCCTATGAGGCGGGCAGTTGGTGACTTTGTGGGCTGGCTGCAGGTTCAGGAGTCATCTGTGTGGCTGTGACTGTTAAAGCCCCGGGAGCCCGCGCGATCCCAGAGAAGGTGGTGTAGAGAGAAGCAGGAGGAGAGCCTTGGGGGACGCCCCTGATGAGGGTTGGGAGGATGGGTCCCATCAGGTGGAGGGGCCAGAGCAAGGCTGGAGCAGTGGCTTCGAGTCCAAGAGAGCGGAGGTGTCAGGGCAGAGCAGGCCCGAGAAGAGGCCGTGGGGCTTCAGAGATGAGACGCTCACTGCAGGATGGGCCTGAGTGAGCAGCAGAGAGTGCTGATGAGGCCCAGGAACTCTCTGTCACTCTCAGCAGCAGCAAGATATGGGGTCACGACCTTTCACAGCCATCGCCTCATTTGTCCAGACTTTGGCCCAAGTCTGGGGCTACAGAGATGAATAAGACTTGGTCCCCGGCCCCTGGGCTCTCGGCTCTTAGCAGCGAGGGCACAGGGCCTGTGCACATCTACTGAGAGCCATAAGAAAGGACAGAACGAGATGGGGGCAGAGGCAAAGCCCGCAGAACAGCCCCTGGTCAGATGGAGAGGGGTTTGGTCAGACATCAGGGAAGACTTCCCAGAGGAGATGGCCTGTGCTCCTGGTAAAATGCAAAGGGGGGGGGTCCAGACGGTGTCTCTGGTTCCTTCCTGGTCTAGGTCTGGGGTCCTTGTCCCCCTTTAGGTGTGAAGGTAGGCTCAGGTGGCCTTTGGAGCATCCAGAACTAGTCCTGCTGGGCTCTGCTCCAAAGTCTTGTGTTCAGTTCTGGGGCCCTGCATTCAGAGGCATGATCAAGATGGTGAAGGGCTTCCAGGCCCTGGCCCTGGAGAGAAGAAGGCTGAGCAAGGCCATGGGAGCAGCCTTCTGGAAGTGGAAGGACCCTCGGGGCAGAACCCAGCAGGGCAGTGGCAAAGAGGCCAGTGGACATCAGGAAGAGCTCTCTACCGCTGTGCTAAGTGAGACAGAAGCTGAGGCTGCCTGACCCCTTGTTGGACCTCATGCCCTCTGGCCCCTTCCCCTTGGGGCAGTGACAGAGGAGGGATACAGGGGGATTTGAGGGGTTGGCAGGGTCAAGTGGAGAGTTTTTTAAATGATGGTGGTGGAGAGAGCAGGTTGTTAGCAAGGCAAGGGAGAGGCAGGGACAATGTTTGTTTTCCTCCACAGCGGACATTCTGGGTCGCCCCCACGGGAGTAAGATGGGCCTGATTTTTACATGCGAGTTGGCCTGGACCATTGTTGGGTTCCTGAGCTTGTCAGGATGAGCGAGTGACTCCTGCCTGTCCTGGGCGTGGAGGATGTGAAGGACTGTCAGAGGAGAGGCCAGGCCATAGGCCTTAGAGCTCAAAGGGAGGTCCCTGGACAGCCGGAGTCCGGCTACCCCTCCCCCACCTTATTTTTCCCTGCGAGGCTGAGGTCTCTTGGAGCTGGGATTTGAACCTGGGTTGTCTGCCTCCAAAATGAGCATTTTGTGCGGTCCTGGAGTGGTTTGCATAGGTTCAGATGTCATAACGCACAGAAGAGAACAGGAAGGTTCAGAGAGAGGCCCAGACAAGCAGTGCTGCTTTGAAACTAAGTATAGAGTGATATTATTTTTAACAAGTCCAAGTGTGGGTCATGGATTTGGACACCGACACAATTCTCTCTTCCCCTTCTCTGTCGATCTGCCTCAGACGCTTACGGAGCTGGGGGGGGCCCCCTTGGGGCAGGCCTCCGTCTCCTCACCTGTAAAGGCCTCTGAGGGCCCTCTCAGCACTGAATCTCTGAGCTCTGCAGTGCACAGGGGGAGTCAGGGCCAGAGCCCAGGGGTTGGATTCTGGTGGGGAGATGACTGAGTTGCGTATGGGAGCCGTGGGAGCCGAGGTATCCTGCCCGAGCCCCCGGGCAGGTCTGCAGTCTCCTGGGCCCTCCTCTTCACTGGCTCCCGGAGCTTCCTTTGGGGGAGTGCGTGAGTTGGAGAGATCCAGGCTCGCTGGGCTGCCGCACAGCCAGGGGATCCTGGAGAAGGATGGAGGCGCTTTGGACTTTGAGGTGTGGGACAGCATGGCCCATGTTGTTGGGGCCCAGAACCTCAGGACAGGAGGAACTTGTCTTTTTTTCCTGCTCATGTAGACGGTTTGCTGGGCCGCAGGAGTCCAGGGCAGCAAGCAGCCAGAGGCCCAGCTCTGCCAGTTAGGTTTGTGTGAGGAGCGCTGGGTGTGGAGCCCGGGCAGGTGCCGCCCGCTCCACTCACCCCCAGACCTGGACCCTACTGGCGGGGTGCTGGATTGGAGGACCTGGGTTCGAATGCTAGCTCCACCACTTACTGCCTGGGTGGCCTGGGGCAAGTCACTGAGCCTCAGTGGACTTCTGTTCTTCATCTGTAAAATGGGAGAGTTGGACTCTGTGAACCCTTCAGGCTTGTGAGGCACTTCCAGGATTTCCAGTTCTTGGGTCCCTGGGCCCAGTCAGACTCTCAGTGCTCACCCCAAAGAGCCCAGGCCCTGTGGTCTGCCCTGCAGACAGTGAACCCAGCCCCGGGCCCAGCACTCCTTGGGCCATGGCATCCGGCTTCTTAATGCATTCCTTTGCATTACCCACAGTTCCCATGGCGGCCTCCTCCTGAATTCCCACCCCCCACCCCCAGCCGTCTGATTGCGTGTGCGCTTGGCAGGGGTCAGGCGGGCGGGAGAGCGAGGCCCCTGCTCTTCTAGGACACCAAAGAGGGCTGGAGACCCCAGGCCCAGAGGGAGCCGACGCCGAGTCGGTGCTAGAACCCAGGCTGGGGCCATTTCAGCCTCCCCTTCAGGGGCCACCTCATTGGTCGCCTCCTCCAGGAAGCCTCTCCAAAACTGAAGCATCCTTTTATCCCCAAAGAGTCTGCTCTCTGTGTCTGGAGCTCTCTTTTGTCCCCACCACACTGCACCTGGTGTCATTCTTCATTTTCTAGGTCAGTCAGCAAGTGCTGGTCAAGTGTTGACTTTGTGCCAGGGACTGGGGACACGAGAAAGGCAAACACATGGTTCTTAGCCTCCAGCGGACAGCAACTGTGTGTGCACGGGATTTGTGCGGTGTAGATGGGAGGCCATCTCAGGGGGAAGGGAAGACTCCTGCAGAAGGCAGGCTTTGGGCTGGGTCTTTAAGGAAGACAGGAGGCAGAGGTAAGGGGGGGAGCATCAGAGCAATAGGGGACAGTTGATCAGTCAGCACTCATTTATTAAGCACCAGCTGTATGCCAGGCACTCTGCTAAGCACTGCAGAGGCCCCAGTTGGGAGGTGGCTCATGGCAGCGAGAAGGCCACTGTCCCTGCGTCATAGAGAGTACGTGGAAGGGAGTGAGGTGTCGGGCTGGAAAGGAAGAGGGGTCCTTTGGTTTGGGTTACATTGCCTTCTCCTGGAAGATGAGGCCTGGGTCGTTTTCAGCCTTGTGTGTACAGCAGTTTGTTAGTAAACGCTTGGGCTGAACCGAATTGTCGCCATCCCTCCTTTGACGGGCAGTGGAGCTCATAGGCCTTTGAGGATCCCTCGTGCTCCCTCAGTCCCCACTAGGCTGAAGCTCCCAGGCTCGGGAGGCAGCTGCGGCTCCCTCCTCAACGGAGTATTGCTCAGCCAGTAGCAGGGGAGGCTGCTGAAGCAGGGCTGTTCCCTGGCAGCCCAGGCGCTTCCCCCTCCCACCCCCAGGAGCGCCTTTCACTCGCACACCTGTGTCTGGCAGGAGCGTGGCCGTCTCCAGCTGCCCCGGGCAGGGCAGCGGGGACGTCCTTGCCGGAGGGATCTCGGCTCTGCGGGGCCTCAGATCTCAGTGCGTGCTGCAGTTCTCAGGCCCACCGCCATGCTGTTTTAGCAGAAGCCGCCGGGAGTGGGAAAGAAGCACAGCCCCTCTGGAGAAAAAGTCGAGTTTTGTGTGTGCATAAAAGGTTGGGGTTTTCAGCCTTCAGCGTGGCCCTTGGCTCCACGGCGACTCTGTCAGTCTTGCCTGGGAGCAAGGCTGGTCTCCTCCCAGGAGCCACCTTTTTGGGTTGAGTGGCGATTTCTTCTTTGGATGCTGCCGAAGTTGTAAAACGCTAGGATTTCGAATTGGAAGGGACCTCCGTGTCCAGGCCCCCCCAAGTCCCACGCCTTCATTTTATAGGAAACTGAGGCACAGAGCGCATAAGTGTTTGCCCACAGTCACATGGTGGAGCAGCAGCAGAGCCACGTCCAGGGCTGACACTTGCTTTGTTTTTTCCCTCTGAGGCCTGTTCAACATCTAGTCCGTTTGGACATCATATTCTGAATCGCCAGGTCTTATGGATACAGTGTTTATATACTTATTGGGGCAGCTGGGTGGCGCCACAGTGCATAGAGTGCCAGGCCTGGAGTCACGAAGACTCATCTTCCTGAGTTCAAATCTACCCGCAGATACTTACTAGCTGTGTGACCCTGGGCAAGTCTCTTAACCCTGTTTACCTCAGTTTCCTCGTCTGAAAATGAGCTGGAGAAGGAAATGGTGAAGCTCTCGAGTATGTCTGCCAAGAAAAGCCCAGATGGGATCATGAAGAGTCAGATAAGACTAAAATGACCTAACCAGACATCCTGTTGTGTGGGCGTCATCTCTTAGGTTGTTGTCTTTTCATCTCTGTTCCCTGGCACACTTTAGGGATGTGATGAATGCTTGTTGATTGCCTGTGTCTCTTCTATTTCGCCCCTCTGAGCTGTACGTGTCTCCAGGGCAGGTCTTCTCTGTCCCTCCCCTGGAACCTGACACAGGGCCTGGCACACAGCTGGAGCTTAACGAATGTCTGTTTAGTGATTGTCTGGGTCATCTCTAGCTGAGCTGTAAGCACCCTGAGGGTAAGGGCCTTGCCTGTGTGCTTCTGTACCTCCCCTCCCTCCCTGCCACATGGATGGGGCTTGAAGGATGTTGTTGACAAGGCCCTGATTGGAATTGGCTTTTACTGCTGTGACGGGGCATCAGAAACGTGCAGTTACCACATGCCCACGCAACTAGAACAGCTTGTCATTGGCTTCAGAGAGAGAGAGGCCCTGGCACCCGAGCATGATTCCCCTTGTCCTGCATAGGACATGTTTTCTGGACCATACCTGCTATAGAGTTATGGCTTCCAGGGGGCCAGCCTCCTCCCTTGGGGCCAGCCTCCTCCCATGGGTTCAGCCTCCTCCCTTGGGGCCCGCCTCCTCCCATGGGTCTAGCCTCCTCCCTTGGGGCCCGCCTCCTCCCTTGGGGCCCGCCTCCTCCCTTCGATTCAGCCTCCTCCCTTGGGGCCCGCCCCCTCCCTTGGGGCCAGCCTCCTCCCTTGGGCCCGCCTCCTCCCTTGGGGCCAGCCTCCTCCCTTGGGTCTTACTTTTTGTAGGTGCAGCCAGAGGAATGTCTTGCTACCTCAGATCACGAAGTTGCCCGGACCCGGGTCCTCTCTATGTCAGGGAAAATGGCCGCCTGCACATGGTAAGCCTTGCCCTCGATGGCGTCACGAGCGGTCTGCGGGAGCCAAGGCCTTTGAGGTTGTTTCCCAAAGGTTTCTCCGTGGAGCTCTGCATGAACCGGGAAGACGACGCAGCCCGGAAGGAGAAGACGGACCACTTCATCTTCACCTACACCAGGGAGGGGAACCTGCGGTACTCAGCCAAGTCTCTCTTCAGCCTCGTGCTGGGCTTCATCTCCGACAACGTTGACCACATCGACTCCCTCATCGGCTTCCCCGAGCAGATCGCCGAGAAGCTCTTCTGTGCCGCGGAAGCCAGGCACAAGTTCACGGAGCCGGGTGCGGGGCTGCGCGCCTTGCAGAAGTTTACGGAGGCCTACGGGCGTCTGGTGCTCTGCTCGCTCTGTCTTCGGAACAGGTCAGTGGGGGTCCTAAACTCAGGGAGGCGACAGACGTAGGCTTTGGTTAGGGATGATTTCCCAAAGAATGAGAGTGGCTCTCGGGAGATGGGGTGAGCTCCCCATCAAGGGAGGACAGTCTGGTTCAGGTGATGCCCCAGGATGCTGAGCTTCTTGGATGGGTTTGCCTTCCTCGTTCAGCCCCCCATTTTACAGGTGAGAGACTGAGGCCCAGGGAGAGAAAATGACTTAGGAATGTAGGTTTCTCAAGCCAGAATTAAGAGGGACCTCAACAGCTATCTATAAAGAGAGGTCAACCTCTTCTTCGGAAGGGGCCAAAGGTTTCTAGTTTTATTTGTGAAGGTCGTGTTGAGGTATTTCTGGTCTGGGGTGACATCATGAAAATCCCATACTGAAGGGACGAGGTTTTTTGGCCAGATTAGGAAGGGAATTGCAAGGACGGGGGCTTTGTAGTGCAGGAAACAGCGTAGCCCAGGCTCGCTGTCCAGCAGGAGTCTGAGCTGCTCTGGCCTGCCCAGTCATCTCCTCTCCTCCACCCCCGGATTTCCCTCTGGGCCTCTCATATGGGGAGCCGTCGCCTGGGGTTCCCAACAGGGATTCCTTTCCTCTCTGGCTGGGTTCCTGACCTTGACTTTGCTAAGCCCCATAATCATGTTTGCCCACTCTCATGCTCTTCACTGACAATCCTTGTTCTAGAACTACAAAAATCTCTTGATTAATTTCTCGGAGGCTGCATGTTTTCTTTCTCTGATTGCCCAGTAATCCCCCAAATCCCCATTAACTCTTATTGGAAGATGGAAAACTGCAGCTTTATTTACAGCGCAATTAAAATGTGACTGGCTGGATAAGGTTCCTCTGTGTACCCAGCTGAGCCTGTCATCTTTGATTCAGCATTTGCTAGGGGCTTCCAGGCCCTGAGCCATCTGCCCCTGGGGCACTTCTCTTGGTGCTTGGGGGAGGGAAGCAGCTGGCCCTGGGTCCTGCCTCCTCCCCTGCCACGCCCTGCAGGCCTCAGCCCTCCGCACTCCAAGGGCTGGTCCTAGCACACCACCTTTTCAGGCCCTTTGCTGCATGGCAGCATGGCCATTATTCCCCCAGCACTTGGGCCTGGCATCTGCCAGGGCCCAGAGAATGCACGCTCACCCCTCTCCATGCTCGGCAGGTATCTGGTGATTTCGGAAAAGCTCGAAGAGATCAAGTCTTTCCGGGAGCTGACCTGCCTGGATCTTTCTTGCTGTAAGCTTGGGGACGAGCATGAGCTCCTGGAGCATCTCACCAACGAGGCCCTGTCCAGGTAGGGCCTGCCATCCGCGCCACACAGAGGCCCCAGAGACCACTGAGTCTTCGGACCTCGGGGGCCATCGAGGTCCCACACGGAGAGTAGGTAGCAGGGGCGGATTTTGAATCCAGGGCCTTTTGCATTGTCCCATGCCGTCTGTTGAGGACTTGGTGCTTTCTGATGGCCTCCGTGGGCTGTGTCCATTCTCTCCTGCCCGTGCTACTAAATGCAAGACCATGCCTTAGGTCACCTGCCATGCACGCCAGGCTGGCCACTGGAGGTGTTCTGTGTGAGGTCGCAGAGAATGACTGTGCTAGGTGCTGACTTTTCCTGTCCATTCCATAGCTACAGAGCTACTCAGCTGTTCTCGTAGACCACACAGATGCTTTGGGGAGCTGGCTCCCACTCATCCTCTTGGCAAATTATCTTTGAGTTCCTTGGGGGAAAATTGATAGCCCTGCAACTAGCGTGGCATGGAGCTTTGCTGAACTCAGCCGTCCTGGTCTCGCGGCAGTGTCCCTCCAGTCTGGTCTGACCTGCCACTGCTCGGTGGGCTAGCAGAGCTGTCCAGTGCTCACATGGCCTAGACGACTGTGCGGGCAGGGCTTAAGGAATGGGGAGGGGCGTCATTTTTTACCTTGTTTGAACAGTTAGTTATACGTAACCAAAAACATCACTTTTGAGAATCTTCGTTAAAAAAAATTCAGTCAGTTTGGTTCATTCCACCTGTGTGCTGGACGCCATGATAGGCAGTTGGGTATAAAGACAGAAAAGCGGATGACATTGAATGAGACCAACGCACGTGTGTGGAATGAATGTTTGCAGAGTAAATTCAAGGAGTCCGGGAGGGCAGGGCACAGATGCCTGTCCAGCCAGTGCTGGGGCCACTCGAGGGAGGTGGGTCAGCGCAGCCCCTTGCGAGCACAACCCCAAGTAAATTCTGGCGTCTGTGGCCTCGCCCCCACAGCGTGACCCAGCTCCGCCTGAAGGACAATTGCCTCTCCGATGCCGGGGTGCGGAGAATGACGGCTCCCGTTCGGGTGATGAGAAGAGGACTGGAAAACCTGGCCTTACTCGACCTGTCCTGTAAGTTGGGCGATGTCACAGTGGGAGGCCGCCGGCCTGGAGTCTGCCCCGGGCTCGTGTGCATCGTCCATTCTCTGGGACCAGATTTGGCTCATGCAGCAGCTCAGGCTGGGCTCCGTTCTGTCAACTTTTAATGAACCAGTTAGGATTTTTTTATTCTGAACTTGAGCAACACCGAGAAAGAGCATTTCTGGGTGCAAAGTAGAATTTGTAGAGGGCTGGTGTGTGTGATGTGTGAATCTCTTTTCTCCTGAGTCCATTCAAAGCTGCCCTGCTCCTGTCTGAGCTTCCTTCTCTCCTTGCACCCTTTTCAGATGTTTTAGTGCCCCCCCCATTCTTTCTTTCCCTTTCTTCCTTCCTCTTTCTTCTTTTCCTTTCCTTCCTCTCTTCCTTCCTCCCTTTTTTCTTCCCTCTCTTCCTTTCTTTTCCTTTCCTTCATTGCTTCCTGCTTTCCTCTCCCCATCACTACCTCTTCTCCCCCTCAGACTCCTCCCCTAATTAAACACAGGAAAGACCCCTGGTAATGTCCACGCTGTGCCAGAGCTCCTCCTTCCATCAGGGAATCTGTAGCAGGGTCCTCCCGGCCCTGCTCCTACCACTCTGTGTCAGGGGTCCCTGGCATGGTCTCCTGGTGCTTTCCTCCAGCCCAGTAATGTTTCGTTACATTTATACGTGACGTTCCCTTAGGTTCTAAGCCTTTTTGTCTTCTGCTCCCTCCTTGAGGACAAGAAAATTTGTTTTGCTTGTGACTAATCTCTGCCCACACAGTGGCCGCCTTCTTGATGCCACCCTCATCCCTGCCCGTCTGCTCATTGAGCTTGCATACCTCCTTCTGTGTTTATAAGGGTGGGTGAGGGTGGAGTGTTCCACCTCCCCTTGGCTGTGCTAGAGAAGAATGAAGCCCCCCCATGTTTGTGTCCCCTTCCTCCTTTCTGCACTAGAGGATGCCTCCTTTTACCCTTCCTTCTCCTGCCCCTATTAGAACCCTTAGGACAGATCCCCTCTACCCTTACGCCCTGTTTTTCTCATTTAACTCTGTTAATTTCCTTTGAAGACATTAAGATTCTGAGGTGACACGTGTTTCTTCTCCCCAGTTAGGATGTCAGGCCTTCATTATCTCACTGCTCCTTCCAGTTGCTCCAGTAAATGTACCTTTCTAGGTTTCTCTTGCTTCTGCATTTCACAATCCCAGCTCAGCTCTGGCCTTTCCATCAGAAATGCTTGGAAGTCTTCTCTTCTATGCAAGGTCCATTTTTCTGCTGTAGAAGTGTGCTCAACTTTGCAGGCACAGTCTTCCTTGGACTCTAGTTCTGGCTGCTTGGATATTTACTCTTCAGTGTGGAAGCTCTGGCAATGTGGCCGTGACATTCCAGGCTTTTCCTTTTGGGTCTCCTTTTAGGAGATGATCAGTGGATTCTTTCTGTCTTCACTTTGCCTCCTGGTTTAGGAGATCTGGGCAGTTTTCATCTATGAATTCTTTTTCTTTTTTGAGGCAATTGCAGTTAAGTGGCTTAGCCATATAGCTGGTAAGTGTCTCAGGCCAGATTTGAACTCGGGTCCTCCTGACTCCAGGACTGGTGCTCTATCCACTGTGCCACCTCGCTGCCCCTCCTTGATGAATTCTTGAAGAGAGTCTTCAGGCTTTTAGGTTGTCAGGGAGTCCACTGCTTGGCTGAGATTACCAGCTCCTCTCCTACTCTTTCTCCTTACAATTCCTTCTTCCGGGGCTTTTGCAGTCCTGGTGGAAATTCTGTTTTTTCCTTTGTGTGCCCTCTTTGTTAGGGAGTTAGGCTCTCCTTCTAGGTTAGTTTTTTGGAGTCATTAATTATGTTTTTTGTTGGTATTGTAATGCTTATTAAAATAATGCTATAGGTAAATAGCAGCAGCAAAGAGCCAGAGAATTAAAATGTAAAATCCCAATACAAACCTGCCCCCAGGGAAGAAGACCCTTAAGCGATGGAAAAGTACATGAGCAGCTTGTCCCAGTGGCAGTAAGGATGGTGTCTTCCATGTGCCTTCATGCCAAAGGTTGGAACTGGCGAAGGTGTGGGTCTCTGTTTGGTAGCCTGAACCCACGCCCCATCCCCCCACTCTGAGTCAATTATCTAATCTTGCTGTCAGAAAAACTGCATGTTTGAATGAGAAATGAATCTGATAGAGAACAATAGTGCTGAGATTCTAGAAACTCTGCTATTTTTCAGTCAATCCACAATTTTGTTGGCCCTGTTTTTGAGATCGTATAGAGCCTCCAGTCATTGCTTAGAGGGGTTGGGGTCTTCTTAGGTTCCTCTCCTCTCCAGACTTTGTGGCTGCATTGGGCACCTGTGACCCTGTGGCCAGGCCCTGCTGCTCCCTGGCCCTTTGGAGGGCCTACCCCCTGGAGCGTCCTGAGGAGCGGCCTGGAGAACCACGTGTCAGCCCTGCCTCCTTCCCTGCTGCCCCCTGGTGGGAGCTCAGCTGTTGATCTCTCCGGTGTCCGTTTGGCTTCTTGCTGGCGTAGGATCGTCTGTCTCCATCCAGGCTCCCCCCGGCCAGACCTTGGTCTTTGATTTCATTCCTCGGCTTCCTGGGCGTGTTGTTCTCTGGGTGTTGCCTGTGTTCGGATGGGTAATCTCGAGGTTCCCTGAACTCCTCTTCCCGCTCTCATCCGCTAGCACCAGTCATCGCTCGGCCATTCCACTTGGTTCTTGGCAGTGCCTTTGAGGGCTGAGTGGATCCGTAGGGTGGTGAGCCCACAGACCCTGGGCCAGCAGTGGCTGTTTTGGTGGGTGTTGGACCTGTCGGACCCTGGGCTTCCTGCCGGGCACGTTGTGTCCAGCTGTGGGGCTGCTGGGCGGTAAGCCCCAGCCAAGGACCATCTCCGGTGGTGGATGACGCTCTGCCAGGTCCGCAGAGCGCGTCCCGTGCTGTGAATGACGCTCCGCCAGGTCCGCAGAGCGCGTCCCGTGCTGTGGACGAGGAGTGAGGCTTAGGGAGGGCATCGCAGCTGGGACTCGGGCCTCCTGATGCCACTGCCCCCACCAGCCCCCCTTGTTTCCGTCAGATGTTCACGATTCTGCCGCTGAGCTTGAATGGATGCCCCAGAGACTGGCAGAGGTGCAGGGGAAGTTCTCTTGTTCCCTACACGATTCCAAAGTAGACACTGTCACTTAATGTCAGCCAGTCAGCAGGCACTCATTTATGCTCGGCCTGTGCAGAATCCTGGGGATCCAGGAAAGTCCTGAAACAGCCATGCCCCTCGAGGGGCGTACAATCTGAAAGGGGATGGGCCACAGTCCAGATTATCCACAGTGAATGGAAGCTCACCTCAGAGGGGCACTGGAGCGTCTGGGGGAGGCAGGAGAGGCCTCCTGAAGAAGCCAGGATCTGACCCGAGCCTTTCAGGAGACCAGAGATTTCCAGGGGGAGCTATGGGGAGCATCCCAGGGACCGAGGGAGTGCCAGGTGCAAGGAGCAGCGGTGGACCAGTGAGGAAGGGGCCAGGGCATGAAGGAGGGCTTTGACGATCGTCGTGTATTGGCCACCTCCAGTTTATCCTGACTGGCTCCTGTTTGCACCTAGTTATTTTCATGTTGTCAGCCCCATTAGACCAGAGCTCCTTGAGGGAAGGGGCTGTTTGTTGCCTTTTGTGTGCCTGGTACACAGTAGGTGCTCAATAAGTGTTTGCTTGCTAACTGTGTTTTCTAGTAGTTCTTGGACTCGTGATTAGCGTTTGGCCCAAAGTCTGATTTTCATAGAAATGGGCCCCTGTGGTTCACTTTCTAGGTAATCCGGAGATCACCGATGCAGGAATCGGCTACCTCTTCTCTTTCAGAAAACTGAACTGTCTGGATATCTCTGGGACCGGCCTTCAGGTGAGAGCGCGGTCCTCCTTTGGGGGAAGGTCCGCGTGTCAGCTGATGCCCTGGCGGGGGCAATCTGCACCGTACTGACCCGTGTCTCCCTTCCTTAGGACGTGAAGGCCGTCATGCACAAGCTTCAGACTCACATTGGCCTCGTTCACTCCAAAGTGCCTTTGAAGGAATTCGACCACAGCGGCTGTAAGACGGAGGGCTGGGCAGACCAGGTACCCTGGGGAACACCTTCATCTTGTGCTCTGAACATAGCCTTAGTGTGTTTCAAGACCGCGAGCCCCGGGAGGCGGGGACCTCATCTGAGCGGGATTTAGCGTCTCTCTCATGGCCCAGCACGAACTTGGCCCCCACTGAAGGCTTAACGAGTGAGCGTTGGACCCTCTGCAGAGCGGTGTGAACATGTCTTTTCTTCATAGCCATGTTATACCCATTTTATAGATGGGGAAACAAGTCCCTCATGGCTCCATCCTGGCCCCTCTCCACGACTCCGTTGGGTGATCTCGGCTCCCATGGTTTCGGTTACATCCATGTGGGTGACTCTCAGATCTCCCTCCCCACCTCCAGGTGTCTTTCAGACATTCTGACCTGGGTGTCCCACAGGCATCTCAAATGTAGCATGTCTAGAACTGAACCTGTTTGTCTCCTCAGGCCTTCCCCTCTCCTGACTCTTCTGTTCACTTGAAAGGGCGCCACCATCCTGCCGGCCACCCAGGGCTGGTCAGGCCATTTCTGCCCCTGTGATGTCCTCTCACCTGCAGCCCCCTTGGTTCAGAACCTCATTTACCGCCTCCTGCTTAGTGTAGTGCAGGAGCCTCCCCCCAGGCTCTCCTGGCTCTGACCTTGTCCCTTCTTTCCTCCCTTCCCTCCCTTCCCTCCATGCATGGCTCCCTATTACCTTCAGGATCAAATCTGAAATCCTCAGTCTGGATTTTTATAGCTTGGCCCCCTCCTGCCTTTGCAGGCTTCCTCCACCACACACACAGACACACACACACACCCCCCCCACGTGATCCAGGACACGCCCTCCTCTGGCCATCTTCCTCGTGCTCTCCCTTCTCATCTCTGCCTCCTGCATCTGCGTCTTCCACCAAGTCCCAGCTAAAACCTTGCCTTCTCCAGGAAGCCTCTCCCAGGCCCCCTTCCCGCCTGTACCGTGTTTGTAAATAGGTTTTGTCATGTGTCTCCCCCTTTTGATGGGAGCACCTTGAGGGCAAGGAATATCATGGACCTTTCTCTGTCTCCGGTGCTTAGCCCTGGGCCGTGCACACAGTAGGCACTTCATAAATGCTGCCAGCACTCTCCCCCCTGCACCAGTGCTGCTGCTGCACATGGACGTCCGTGATCGCCTTTGCACTGTGCCGCCTTGTGGCAGAGCAGCACCTAACATTTATGTAGCACCTGCTATGTGCCGGGCACTGTGCTAAGCGCTTTACAAGTATCATCCCATTCGATCCTCACAACGGCCTTGGGAGGGAGGGGTATTATTATCCCCACTTTACAGATAAGGCAACTGAGGCAGACAGAGGTGAAGTGACCTGCCCAGGGTCACACAGCTAGTGAGCATCTGAGACCTCGTGCTCTTCCCACTGGGTCACTTGGCTGCTTGCCACCAGGGTGGATAGGAGACGTCGGAAGCTTAGAATGGGGGACCAGCACTTTGTAGTGCCAGGCTCTGTCCTGGGCCCAGGAGGTGTGAAGGCTGAAGACAGTCTGTGCCCTCCAGGAGCTTACATCTTATGGGGGAGGACAAACCACATGATCTTAAGGCTCCGGGCCTGGCGTCAGGAGGCCTCCCCTGCTGCCTCTGGCTGGTCATACGGTCCTGGACAAGTGACGCCCCTCCCGGAGCTTTGCTGTCCTCAATTCAGTGGGCCTAGGGCCCCGTGGCTGGCCCTTCCAGGCCAGGAGGTCTCTGAGAGGCTCCCATGCCCATCTGGGGGCAGGGGTACTCTGGGTCCCTGGTGGGGTGGGGTGCTGCCTGCCGGACCCCTTTGGTGGGATGGTAGTGGATTCCATGGTGTTCTCTGTTCCAGATTGTCCTGCAGTGGGAGCGCGTGATCTCTGGAGCTGTCGCAGGCCAGGACAAGCCCCGGACGGCGGCGTCGCGTTTCTGTACGTACCTCTGGCCGCAGCTTCGCCTCTGCCCTGTGATTAAACCTGTTGATTATTGTGCTCAGCAGGAAAGCCAGAGGCACAGTGTCAGAGCTGGGAGGTCATCTAGAGATGATCGCCCAGGACCATGTAGGAGACTGAGGCCCAGGTTAAGTGGGTGCCCGAGGGTGCCCCCACAGCTAGTAAGTAGCTGAGCCAGGACTCACACCCAGGTCTTGGACCCCAGAGCTTTCCCACCAGAGGACTGGCTTGTTCTGGGAGTGTGGGGCCTGCTGCACTCAGAGGCACCAGCGTGGTCTGGGTTTGGTCCACGAGGCTTGATGCCTCAGGCGGCCTTCTGTCCATACGGCCTGTCATGTGTCAGAGTGACCTGGAGGGTACCCAGACCCTTCCTTAATACTCTCTACAACAAACTGAAATGAAAAGGGGCCAGCAGCGAACCCTGGGCACCAGGCCGAGTAGGGGCAGTCACAGGGAGGCCGGTGGCTGTTTGGTGTGTGGAGGAAAGTCATAATACTTGGAGCCATCCCCACCTGGAATTGCCTGCTGTGACAGGTAGTGAGCTCACTGTCACTGGAGGTTGTGGAGTGGAGATAGATGAGCCCTGTGCAGGGTTCTCGCACTGGGTAGGGTGGGCCTTGATGTCCCCTCAGACTCTCACAGCGGACTGAATCTCTGTCTTTGCTTCTGACCTAGATGGAAAGCGGCCTCGGACGGAAGCCCCTTCCAAGTGTCCCTTAGCAGATACAAACTCTGGTGAGAAACTGCAGTTCTACAAAGAGAAGGCCGTGGCGGAATGCCACGGGCCGTCGTTGAAACGGGAGGCGGCCACGAGCCAGGAACTCAAGAGCGCCAAGAAGAGAGTGCGGGAGGAGCCCGAGAAGGAAGCACCGAGCTCACCGTCCTCCAGGCAGAAGTATGTCTGCCTCACCGTGGAGGACTGGAACTTGCTTAATTCTTACTGATGGGCGGGGGGGGGGGTGGCCTCTGGCCCCAGCTGTGCCACGGAGCGCCAGGGGCCGGGCGACGTTGGGCTTTGGGTTTGGGATTGGGTCGCGGCCTGGTCAAGCCAGCCAAGGTGGCGGGGCGCTCGCATCCGGAGTGGGAGGAGGCCAGCGTTTCTACTGTATATTTTCAATACATAGTAATTTTTCAAATAAACCTTTTTGCTGTTGTTAGCTGGCGTTGTCAGATTTGAGGTGGGGCCACAGCTTTGGAGGGGTGTCCTGGAGCCCCCGACAGAGGTCGGCTTCCACGTCTCTAGCCGCGCCCCCCCCCCCCCCCCCCGGGAGGTTGGAGCACGGATCGCTCAGGCAGCAGCTGTAATAACTAGCATTTATTTGGTGCGTTATGGTCTTTGAAGCATTGACACGTCTTCTCATTTGAGCCTCAAAAAAACTTGACAAGGTGGGTACATTATCATCTCCCTTTTACAGACGAGGCAACTGAGGCTGATTAATAAATCCAGGGTCACACAGGAAGGGTCTGAGGCCAGATTTGAACTCAGGTGTTGACTCTAGGTCTAATTCAATCCACCACTTAGCATTTGTTAAGCACCTACTATGTGCCAGGCACTGTGCTGAGCACTGGGGGTTTTACAGAGAAAGGCAGCAGACAGTCCCTGCCCTTCTGGAGCTCACAGTCTAACGGGAGAGACAACACGCAAATAACAATGGACAAACAAAATCCATGCAGAGGAATCGAGAAAGGCTTCTTATAGCAGGGGGGGACCTGAAGGAAGCCGGGAGATGGAGGTGAGGAGGGAGAGGGCTCCAGGTGTGGGGCACAGCCAGGGAATGTGTCTGGAGTCTGGAGATGGAGTCTTGTTTGAGGAACAGTCTGGGGGCTGTTTGTCGCTGGCCAGGAGTGAGGTGTAAGGTGGAAAGATGGGGGAGGGGGCCAGGTCCTGAAGGGCTCTGGAGGTGATAGGGAGCTATTGGTGGTTCTTGAGTGGGGGAGTGTTGCGGTCAGACTGGAGGGAAGGAGGATGGATGCGTGGGGAGAGATTCGAGGCAGGCAGACCACCCCCTCCCTGTCTCCCAGCAGCCATTGCAAGAGTCCTGACTTCCCCATTAGCCTCTGCTGACTGAGGAGGCAAAGCAAGTGTTCATCTGCCGTGGCAGAGAGTTTCCTCACTGGGAATTCCTCCAGGCCAGTGAAATGCTTTACCCAGGTCACCTCATTTGATCTCACGGCAGCCCTGTGAGGGGGATGTCCAATATTCCTGCTTTACAGGGGAGGAAACTGAGGCAGAATGCGGTGATGTGACTTGCTCAGGGTCACACAGCTAGTGATTATCGGAAACTGCATTTGAATACGCACCTTCTGTGCTTTGCCCGTGGAGTCACCCAATTGCCCACAGGCCTCTAGCATGCCTTGTGACTGGGGCTGGCGGATTCACGGTCATGGGCTCATAGACCTCGGGCCAGAAGGGTCCTCTGAGATCATGTAGCCCAGAGAGAGGTTAAGTGACTTGGGATTTGAACCCAAGACTCTCGACTCTGAGTTAAATACTCTCTTACATATATAACATACATACACACAGGCACGTAATTTCAGATCTAGAGCTGAGAGGGTCCTTAGTGGTTCGGTTACCTGGTCCAGTCTCCTCACTTGCAGATTATGAAAATGAGGCCCAAAGAGGCCCAACAGCTGCCCCACGATGGCGCAGGTGACCCAAGGCCCGGGCTCATTCCACAGCAGGGCTCAGGAAGCCACGGCCTCCGGCCACCCCGCACATGCCCTTTCTGAGGATGGCTCCCAGAGAAGACTTCCACAGCCGAGAGCGACTTGTCTCTTCCCTTTCTCCTGTCAGCATCTTCCCAATGGGTGCCCCTCCCTTCCCACTCATTTTCTTCTACTTACGGCCCTCCCCTGCTCGATCACAGAAATAAAAAGCGTTTGCTTTTCAGATGAGCCGAAAAGCCACCCAATTTGACAGTGTGGGCAACTTTCTGTGCCGGTAGTCCCCCACCTCTCCACTGAGAAGAAGGATGAGGTTTCTTTTTTATTCTCCAGAACCAAGATGGTTCATTGCAGTTCATCCAAACCCAGCTGCCTTTTAGGGTTCCTTCCAATTGCATTATTGTAAACACTGTGTAGACCAGGGGGCTCTTCTCCCTTTTGTGTGTCCTGGACCCCTTAAACTGAAGTTTGGTCAAACCTAGGAACCCCTTCTTAGAATCATGTTTTTAAATGCTTAAAGTAAAATAAAATACACAGGATTACAAAGAAAATCAATTATAAGTGAAATAAATGTTACTATTTTTCCACCCCAGATCTTGGGCCCCCTGAACTCTATGCAGGGAATGCTTGACAGGTGGTGGGGGGTGGTTTGTGGCCCCAGGGTCCAGAGCCCCCCAAGCACAAGGCTCCTGACTCTAGCATCACCTGCCTGGAGTCTCAGGATCTCTTGTACTCTCTCTGCCTTTTTTTTTGGTGAGGTAAATGACTTGCCCAGGGTCACACAGCTAGTACTTGTCAAGTGTCTGAGGTCACATTTGAACTCGGGTCCTCCTGACTCCAAGGCTGGAGCTCTATCCACTGCGCCACCTAGCTGCCCTGATCTCTTATATTCTCACGACAGAAGTGCTGACTTGGGTGGTGGTACTGAATGTTGCATTCATACAAAGTTAGGTAAGGTTTATGTTTTGAGCCTCTCCTTTGGGCTCTCACTTGTCCTGATGAATGAAGGTGATCTTGGAGTATTTGCCACTAATCTTCAGAGCAGGATAATCTGTTGACTTAGTGATGATTAGATTTCTACAAAATAAATAAGAACTTCCTGGTTGTCCTCTCTAAGTTTGCTTCTGGCTGATTGTCTGATTCACCTGACCTTTGGATGAGTCGTTTCATTTTTCTGTGCCTCAGTTTACCTCAGATTGGTAAATCTGCCTCTACTTCACTGAAGCCCAGGTTTAGCATCTCCCTGTGCTAAAGCGATAACTTGGGGCCTTTGAATTCTGTGCTAATGGGATACAAACTTTGACAGATGACTTCAAGTATTGGCCTGGTCTCACATAGCAGTCTTGCCAATTGACATTAAGGCACTGGGCTCAGCTCTTGGGGTACAAAGACAAAATGAAGTCGGCCCTGCTCTCAAAGCCCTTAGTCTGTAGATAATGAACCTCCTGTGGGACAACCAACCTGGCTAAGTGTGAGGCATCCAGTCATCAGAGGATGGGAGATTATATTTTTTTGGCCGTAACTCACTGTCTAGTCTTCCAAGATGAGGAGGGGCGTCTGAGTTAGCTGTCAGTGAAGGGACACTAGTCTCAGCCATGATCCGATTACAGGGAAAATGCCTAATCCCAGGAGCATGTGTCCTGAGCAGCCGGAAGCCTGGGAGGTGTTCTTCCAAGCATCCACTCGACAACAGGTCTAAAGCAAAGGGGATTTGCTTTACTAGGAGAAGCTAATTTTTAACCAGAGAACCTGGCCTCCAGCACCTTCAGATGTCAGCTGGCGCAGAAAAGGGTTTGAAGGCCCCCTCCAGCTCCCAGGTTCTGGGACTGGTGGAAGAGAGATTTCTGGCCTTGAACTTCTCTCCGTGGCCCCGTAGATTTGATTTTTATTTCTAACGAAGGTCTCAATCAAAACTTGTAGAATGTATGCCTTTTTTTACATCGTCTTCATTTCTGAAAACATCCTAACTTTCGACTTCTCATTGAGCCTTCTCTTGTAACAAAGATTTTTTAAAAAGACGTTCATAAAACCAACCATTAGGCTCGTCAACTGCATCTGAAAGTTTGCGGGCTATTCCACCGAGGCCCGCCTCCCCCCACCCCGCCCTCTCCCCCACTCCCTCTGCAGCGAAGGCTCTTCCCAATTCATGACACTTATCAAAGCATTCATCTTCACTTTATTGGTCTTTCCATGTACATCACTGTATCGTGTCTGTTGTTTTCCTGCTCTTAATTATTTCACTGCATTAGCTCATGTAAGTCCCCCTTGCTTCCCTGCGTTTTTCCTGTTCACATTTCTTACGGCAATGAGAAATCCCTATGCGGGCGCCTACTTAGCCAACACGGATTATTACTATGCACCAGGCACTGTTTTAAGCATGCAAACAAACATAATCGTGTACAAACAACGGGTGTGTGTTTTGTATATATGTGTGTGCATAAATGTAGACATAAACCTATATACGTATATATGCGTGTAATATGTATGTGTGTGTGAATATGTGTAACACACAAAGAGTAACCAGAAGGTAATCTCAGCAGGAAGGCCCTAGGAGTAACGGGATCAAGAAGGCCTCCTGCACAGGGTGCAGAAGTGAGGAGGGATGGTGCTCCAGGGGTGGGGCACAGCCAGTACAAAAGCACAGAGATCTGAGTGTTGTGTACCAGAAACCCCAAACTGGCCCGTGTAACTGGATTATACAGTATATGGAAAAGGGTCACTGGAAGAAGGGAGAGGCCAGATTGTGAAGGTTGGGACCTTCACAGGCCCTTTAAAACCAAACCGAGGATCTTCTATTTGGCCCTGGAGGTAACAGGAGTCCCTGGAGTTTACTGAGCGTAAGGAGGGGCTTGAAGAGCATCAACTTGATCATTGAATGGAAGGTGGAGGGGAGTGGGGAGGGGAGACGGAGACTTGCAATTGTGGAGTCCTGAGGGAGGGGCTACACCAGGGAAGACGGCCGTGCGGGCACACACATGCAAATGTACATGCATGTACATGCCATGAAAACGCGTGGACATACATGTGTATGCATATACGCCCACATATACACACACATGTGCACACGTGTACACATGTGTGTGCGTGTGCGTGGCAGATGGGTTGGAGGCAGCTCCACAGGACTCGAGGCAGACGGGACATGGGGTGGGGTGAGGATGACCCCGAGTTCATGGTCCTGCAGCGCAGGATGGTGGTGCCCTTGGCAGTGGGGAAGTTGGGAAGGGGGAGGAAGATTGCCTGGTGAACTGCAGCCCCCAGAGCTCTGAGGGTAGGTGCCCCACAGACATTCTGCCCCCAACCTCCCCCCGATACCCAGAGGAGGAGAGAAGTAGTGTTAGCATCTGTGCTCTGACCAACAATCATCCCTGCCTGCAGTCGGGGCCCAGCTAATGACTTCTTCTCCACTCATGCGGTTAAAGTCTATGAGCCATTTTCCCAGTGCTTTCTTCTCCACGTCAGCTCATACAAGGGGGATGGAGGGGGCATTTAGGAGCGGGAGCACCCCTGGGATGAGGGCTACTCATCCGCTTTTGGGGTCCCCCTTCACCCAACTCGCCAGTGGCTCCGTGAAGCTGTTGCACGTGCAGTGGCCACACCCCGGTAGACAGTCTAGCAGACAAACTAAACCAGGGTAAATGACAGGCCCCAGCCCCGGCGGTGAGTTAGGGGGTGTGCACCCCAAGCACGGCTGGATGCGGGGAGGAGAACAGTTTGTTCCAACAGCCACGAAGGCGGCTGAAGCAGGCGCTGTGGAGCGACAGGGCAGACGCCAAGGCCATCCGCTGCACCCTGGGCGGTCACCAGCCGTCCTGACTTTGGTCCTGCATCGGGACGTGATGACTGGCAGAGAGAACGAGGCGGATGGCTTTGGGCAGTTCTGCCTCACTTAAACCTGGTGCATGCGTGAATCAGGACATCACTCCGTGATGTCGTTGGGCCTCTTGAAAAGCTCATGCAAACCTTCCTTCCTGTGTTTCTCTGGCTTCGTCGTGGCGTCAGCTCCACAGAACAGTCCCTTGCATTCTCAGACCACGATCGGGTCAGCCAAGGGCCGGTGCTGCTGCTACGGACAGAGTTGCTGTGAGTGTTTTGTCGTCGGCCCCTCCATCATCCCCACTAAAATGAGCTGGAGAAGGAAATGGAAAACCACTCCAGGGTCTGTGCCAAGAAGACCCCCAGTGGGGTCACAGACAGTCAGAAAGGATTGAAAGCGACTGAACGACAACCTAACAACATACAGGGATGCACGCAATATACAACGTACATCGCGCTCTGACATCCTACTAAGGCGTTGGGCTAGATGGCGTCTCTGGGCCCTTCCAAGATCCCCTCTGGGGCCTCAGTTTTCCCATCTGTAGAATAGGAGTCCCCAAGGCCCCCGATCCAGCTCTCCATCCTGATTCTGTGATCCACGTCCAGAAGTGGGAAGGTGGGGGTTAAGAGGGCAAGCAAAGAAGAGTCCAAGGCAGATGCCAGGACCAGAAGGGTTAAATGGGATAGATTTCAAGCTGAAAGCAAAGAGCATAACCTGAGCCTACTTTAAGTCCCTTTAATCTGCTACCTCCTGTTTGAATACCATATGTGTGTGTGTGCTTAACGTCCTGATCTTGGACCCGGGGCCCGGCCCAGCGAAGGGGTGGTAAATATTGACAGTGGGCACCCAGCGCCCCGGGGGCCCCATTTGTCCTCTCTGCACCTAATCCTCTGCCGGTGTTGAATGAATGGAGGGGAGGAGGAGGTGGAGGAGGAGGAGGAAGGAGTCGTCCACCCCACGAGAGCCAGGCATCTCCTGGAGCTGATTGCTGACACACGGCTGGGCGGCCTGCCACGGCAGCCTCTCTGTGACGTGGGCTGCCCCATCCTCCCCGCTCTGTGAACACCACAGGAACAAGGAGGCTCTGTGCCCCCAGTGTGGCCGTGTCCTGGCTACAGTTGGCAGGGCAGTGACTGGTGAATGCCCAGTGAATGCACCAAGGAGATGGCCTTGGGACGTCCTTACCAAGAGCTTCCTGAGGTCCAGGGGGAAGATGGCAGCTCCTGTGTTAATGGTCTTCTGGACAGGTGGCCATAGAAATGAGGACTTCAAGGTCACCCAGGCCAACCTTGTGATTTTACAGATGATGATGCTGAGGTCCAGAGAGGGAATCAGGGACTCACCCAAGGTCACCCAGCAAACCTTGATGGACTGACACCATAGCCCCGAGTCGGAGGATCCCTGAGGGCTGGAGGCCTTCCTGGAGTAGGTGGGCCACAGGAAGAACCTTTCAGTAGACGAAGTCCACTGACCTCCGTGATGCTAATGGATCCTCAGAGCAGTCCAGCCCACAGGCACCCTACCTCCATGGCTGTCTACATTTCCAAGTCAGCAACAGATCCGTCATTGTCAGGTTTTGTGTCTGGAAAAGGAAGACTCCAGTCTGCAACCCCAGGCAGCCTTCTTCTGTTAGTGGCTTGGTAGAAACTCTTAGCACCCCAGATTTAGGGCTGGAAGAGGCCGGCCAGTCCAGCCCCCTCATTTTACAGATGAGCAGCTGAGGCTCGGAGGGTTGGTTGGTGACCTGCCTAACATCACACAGTAAGCAGGAGAAGTGGGATTCAAACCCAAGCCTTGTGACTCCAAGGCAGGTGTCTTTTACCACCTCCCCAGGCATAAGCCGTCAAGACGTGAAGCTGCAGGTGTTGGGGGGAGCCAGCTCGGGTCTTGGGAAGGGGGGAGGGGTCTTGACCCCTGCCTTCTGTTATGTGCAGACAGGGAGGCGGCGAGATGGGGGGGGTCCGGATGTGACAGCAGGTACAGGCGGGCATCCTCAGGGCCCGGGGCAGATGTACTCATCCGACCAGTCGGAGCAGTGCTGCACGCGGTCCCGGCAGAGGTCCCGGGGGACGCAGCCGCAGTACTGGTACCAGGTGGAGGGGCAGCTCCACCACTGAGGCCCGCAGGGTGGGCAGCGGGCCACTGGGGAGGGAGAAGAGAGCAACGGAAGAACGTCCAGCCTGTTCCCTCTGCTCCCGGCCCCGAGGACAAGGGCCGAGCTCCTCACCCCTCACTCCCCCAAGGCCCTCCCCTGAACCCCCCAGTTTTGTCTCCTCCCTCCATCCCGCGCAGATTCACTCCCCCCTGTGTGTTCTGAGGCATCTTCCCATCTCTGCAGCTTGGATCTCCTTATTTCGCTTCCTGGGAACAAGCCACTGTTTCTTATCCAAACCAAGAGTTCCAAGGGTAAGAGTAACTAGGATAATCCCCCAATGGGTAATAATCATAACTAAAAGCCCAACCCGCTTATTGTGGGAACACGAGTTTATCAGATTCTCTAGGAATTTTTAACTCTGCCAGCAAGTGGGCCGCAGGGGCTGCTTCTCACGCTCCAGAGAAATTGCCCGGCTTTCCTGGGCGTGGGAGGTGGAGGAAGGCTTCAGAGGATGGATGGGAGTTGTCAGGTGACAAGGGGGGAGCGAGGGCATTCTAGGCACAGGATACAGCCGGAATACCTCAGACAGTGAATGACGGGACAGGCGTAGCCCGGCTGGTGGCAGATTGTGGGGAGCTGGGGACGCCTCCCGGGAAAGGCGCTTGAGCTTTCTCTGGGGGCAGATTCTGGGCAGATTCTGGGCAGCGGGGCGGCTCACGCCAGCCCAAACCTGGGGGCGCGGGGGAGGACTCACAGGTGCCTTCATCAGAGCAGTCTCCACAGTCATTGAAGCCGTCACATTTCCGATCCTCGAAGACCCAGGACGTGGGGTCGCTGCAGTGGAACACCAAAAAACTGGGGAGGCTGTGGGGGACATTGCCTAGGGGGGAAGGCAGAGACGGACGGCATGGCCTGAGGACAGCTGGTTCCACTCTGAACCAGTTCGTTCAGCAGGCGAGGCTCCAGTATCTGGGGACAGAGTAGCCCGTGGTGATTTCGCCAGACCCGACTTCCTCTGCAGATGCCTGAGCCTTGAGCACCTCCCCGTCCATCCCACTTGCCCATACTTCACCCGCTCTACCCTCTGCCTCCTGATGGCCACTAAGAGAGGAGACAGTCCTGGGTATGGAGAATCTTAAATCAAAAGTCATCTATTTATTCACTACCTGTGTGACCTTGGGCCTCAGTTTCCTAATCTATAATACGGGGCTATGGGGCAGTGTGACCTAAAGAGAGGCATCATGGGAAAGTAGGTAAGAGCACCAGTCTCAGGGTCAGGAAGTCCTGGGTTCAAGTCCTGTCTCTGACACATTAGGGTTACCCAGCCCCTCGGTGCTCCTCCAAGCCCCCGAGACTAGCCCGTACAGAGCAGGGGCTGATTGGGCAGTCTCCTTACCCAGAAGCCTCGGTCCTAGTTCACAGGTCTGGACAAAGAAACCACCAAAGTCCAAAGCTGAGGGCCAGCCCACACTTACCGCACAAGGCTTCTTCTTCGTCCTCTCCGTGTGTGCAGGAACGGACGTGGTCACACACGAGGCTGGCGGGAATGCAAGTGTCCCGGTCATCACACAGGAAGCCTGTCTGGTTGGACGTGGTTGCACAGGCCCTGGTCACTGAGGAAGAAAAGCCATGCAAAATGGCTCAGTCAGAACCCAGGGTGCCCTGTCATCTGCGCTGTAGCCAGGCTCCCCAGAGGGGCTTCATAAAGGCCTGGTGATTGACGCTCCCATTAATCACTCCTGCTCCAGGGCTCCAGAGCCTAGGGAGGGCCTGTGGAGGAGAGTGGGGAGAGCCGAGGAGAAGTGGGAGCTTTCAGGGTCAATGCCACAGAGCGGAGGATCTCCAGCGCCTTTCTTTGTGGCTCAGGGCACAGGCTTCTTTGGCCCACTGAGCTCAGAAGCTGGCACCACCACAAAGCCTCGGGACGCTCGGAGAATGCCCATCTTTGCTTCACTAAGAGCAGCCACCTCTGACGTATCATGAGGTTAGTGCACACCTATAATGGGCAAATTGTGTTTACTTTAAAAACGCCACGCATGCTGGGTAAGTACAATGTCTACTAAACCAAAAGATTTATAAATTTTATTTTATCTTCAAGATCATGGCAACCAAAACTTTCTGGCCCATCTAGAGAAACTTGTGGCACACACACACACACACACACACACACACACACACACACCCTTTGACAACCACTGCCCTCACGAGTAGCCACAAGGTAGGAAGTGTAGCAGTAGAGACACCCAGGACTTCACAGGGGGAAAGAAGCCAAGAAAGGAGGCAGTAATAGAACCCATAACTTCAGGTGCTTAAACACAAATGCCCCAAGTCAAGGCAATAAGAACGAAAAACTAGAGGTTCTGATGCAAGGAGTCCAATTTGGCTTCACAGGTACCCTGAGACTGGTAGGGTGAGACCTACGCCTGAAATATGCCACTGATGAGTAGAATTTATTCAGAAGAAACAGGATTGGGACAGCATTGAACATTCATGAGAGGAAGTCCAGGAGCTAATAAAAGGAAATGTGATGGAGAGCACTTGGACAAATAACAGTAGAGGAAGAAAGTGAAGGCCTGTTGTTAGTAGACTAGGCTAGAGACCACTGGGACAGAAGAGAGAAACTGATGAGGCGTGTAGGAAACAAATCACAAACCTGGCATAGAGATATAATCTTCGTAATGATGAGGAACTTCAATTATCCAGACATGTATTAGATTTCTCTCTGTCTCTGCCTCTTTTTCTCTTTCTCTCTCTTTCCCTCTGTCTCTCCCTTTTTTCTTCTGTCTCTCTCCTCTCTTTTTCCTTCTCTCTCTCTCACTAATGATTTTATCTTTCAAAAGGTGGCTAGGCAATGGGGTTAAATGACTTGCCCAGCGTCACACAGCTAGTGCCAAGCGTCTGAGGCCGTATTTGAACTCAGGTCCTCCTAACTCTAGAGCCAGTGCTCTATCCACTGTGCCACCTAGCTGCCCTGAGATTCAGTGATTTTGTGGGAAACATGGGAGTTGGGAGGCCAGTGTCTTCCATGTTCCCAACCAAACTTGAGTCTTTCTAATAATAAGGCATGGGTCTTGTCCTTGATGGTGCAAGGATGTAGAATGTCAGAGTGGGAAGTCTGACCCAAACCAGGAATTCCTTTTAACCTCCACAGGGTGAATCATCTAGTTAGGGGACCCACATTAGGGCACCAAAGCACCCCGTAACCTTGAGGTACATGCTACCCCGTAGAGAGGGAAGCTACAGGGGGATGGCCACATTGGCCAGCACTTACAGTTTCCCCCAGGCCATGTTTGCAATGATGAGCTTTGGGGGTACCTCATTTGACCTCGATGTGAGCAGGGATTCCCTTTATAGCATCTTTGACATGTGGTCATCTAGCCTCCATGGGAGGAGCCTTGGGCCATGCCCTGCAGGCCAGGGATCTTACTTTGAGATGGCGGCGGGAGTCCGAAGCTGCTGACCAGCCAGATGATGAAAGTCAGCAACGTGAGGAGGAGCAAGGTCCAGGCGGAGATCCAGAAACCTCGGCGGGTGCAGCAGGAGAAGGGGCCGCAGCAGTCTGTCCAGGAACATGGAGAAGGTGCGACTGTCACAGGCCCAGGGGAGCCGGGGAAGCGTTGGTGACTGCTGGGTGCCATGCTGGCCGTGGCATCTCTTGTTTACTTAGTATGGTCCATCCCACCCTCTGGGAGCTTTCAGTCAAAACCCCATGACATCAGTCCAGGGCTGGGTCGAAAGCTTCCCCTCCAACTCTCTTTCCACCTTGCCAAAGGCAGGATCTCCTCTGGGGGGTGGGAGGGGGGATTCCTACGCTGACACAAGGCCCAGCCCCTTCGTGCTTCAGTGTGCAGTCTGCAGCCCTTGCTCGGGCTGAAACGATTCATTCCCATGTGGCCAACCTCAGCTTTCCTACACCTAGCATCCCCAGGACCCTGACTCCAAGAGCCTCAGGGACAGCAATGCTTCCAGCCTGGGACCCTCGGCCCCCATCCTGGGAAGCAGCCCCAGAAGAAGAGGCCCGAGCCCAGACCCTCTGCTTGGCTGCTGCACCCTGAGGACCATGGGACCTTGCAGCTGAACCCCTCCTATGTGTTATCTCCCCCATTAGACTGTGAGCTCCTGGGACTGACAGCAGGGGATGTTTGACTTTTCTGTTTGTATCCCCGGTGCTTTGCACACATTAAGTGCTTAATAAATGCTCCATTCATTCATTGATTGGGACACACATATACAGACACACACACACACACACACACGGGAGGCAAGCTTTTCCAGTCTGGTTCGGGTTGCCTGTTTGCTCTGTGGGCACAGCCTGGGAGAACCCGGTGGCACCTCCTTGTTATGCCCGCCATATTCTGCTGCCTCAAAGAATCTCAGAGAATCTCTGGCTGCCTTCCAGACTCAGCTCAAATGCCCCCTTCTTCAAGGCAAGGCAGGGCAAGAAGCATTTATTCAGTGCCTACTATGTGCCAGGCACTGGGCTAAGTGCTGAGGATACAAAATACAAGCAAACAGAAAGGACTGTTCCCTCGAGGAGCTAAGCTCTAGCAGAGAAGAGAGCTGAAAAGCGAGAGGAGGCTGTGCGGAGGTGCCCAAGTAGGGCCATATTGTTGAAGTCTAGAGAGTATGGAGTCAAAAGCACAGCTGGGAGGGGAATGAAGGTTGGTTGGCCTGCGCCGCTCTCTAGAAGACAGGACGCCTTTCCCAGTTTCCCCTTGAGGCTCTAATGCTTCAAAGACATCCTGAAAATGTTTCCATCAGAGGAACTTGAATCAAAGGATGCTTTGATGCTTGAAGACCCAATTTTGGGGGACCAGGAACACAGAGCAGACCCCACATCACCAGAGTACTATGGATGGATGGGGCAGTGAGGGGAGGCAAGGAGGAGCAGGGGCCTTGCAGTCCTCAGGCCAGGGGTGGATCTGGGGCTTGGCCATTTGCCAGCACTGGGCCCCTGAGTGAGTCCTCTCCCCTCTCTGAGACTCAGTGTTCTTTCTCTGCAGAAAAGAATAAGTCTGCACCTCCTACCTCCCAGGATTGCTATGGTGATTCAATAACATAATGAATGTGAAATGCTTTGTGAATTTCAGAGGGCTAGGCCCTATCAGGGATTGTTGTTACATTGAGATGGACAGGCAGTTCCCATGCTTGCCACCCAACAGTACCACCCCGGGAGCACTGCCCAGCCCTAGGCAGGTCAGAAGGAAGATAAGCCTGAGGGACTCATTAATCTTCATTAATCTTCAACAGCTTGGTTTGATCTCTTTGATAAACAGGGCCATCCCTGCAATAAGAAAGCTGTGGGCCGTCCCCCACCCCTGCCCGGGCCCCCAGAGGATTTCCAGGGATTGCTTAAGACAATGACACCAGAGGCACTTACCTTCTTCACTTTCCAAGGTCTTGCTTTCCCTGGCTGGATTTCCATCCAAGGTCCTTGGCTAACGGCAAGAGAGTGGAATGGAGGCTGAGAAACACTGGTTTGTAGGGCAGAAAAACTCTCACGGCCTAAGCCTATCATTGCATGGTTTGTGTTCTAAGGCCGCTCCCAGACTGGGCATCCCATATTCTAGGCTCCCTCTCAGCATGGACATTCCATGTTCTACGTGTTTCCTCCCAATCCAGGCATTTCAAGTTCTCAGTTCCCTCCCTGCTGCCTAATGGTTAGCACACATGGCTCACATTTCTCCTTAGTTACTCTTCCTCATCAAAAATGGAAAATCAGGATTTCAGTGGGGTGGCTGTCACTGTCAAACTAGATGTTCTAACAGAGAAGGGAGCTTCCCTTGCCTCCCCCTTTCCCGGCCAGTTTGCCGACGCCAATGCTTCACTAGAGTGGACGGAGTTTTCTTTTCTGCTGGCGCAAAGTGGAGCACCCTCCTTGGGCTTCCTTGGTATGTCTTGTTGGTATGTGGTACAGCTCTGTTATTCTCCTTCCCGTTAAGAAACTGCCTCTCTGCCTCACCCCAAGGACTGTTCTTAAGACTAAGTGCACAGATGCCTGTTACCTGAGGAAAGATTCTGTTCATGGCTGCCTCAGTGTCCACAGGAGCCTGGAGCAGTAATCTTGGAGTGGAGAGAGGCGAAGCCTGCTTGGAGATCTGTCCGGACTCTCAGATTAAGTTCCCTCCTGGTCCTGCAGGTTTCGGCAAGGACTAAGAGCCAGGACCTGGGTTGTTACCTGGTCTCTAAGGGAGAGGACAATAAGGAAGGAGGCTCTTTCATTCTCTGGCACATACCTGTGACGTGGTAACTGCTCCCCCACCCCCCTCCCTTGCCCTTCTCTCCACCCACCCTCCTTTCCCAACTCTGACTAGCTCAGATCAGCCTTGGTCCATCTCCTAGGTCACAGGGGAAAGGGACATCTGTGGAGGTGCCCTAACCCCTACTGGACAGTCACAGAATTACACAAGCTCAGTCCTTGACCAAGAGTGTAAGCCCTGTGAGGGTAAGGACTGTTTGTATCCCAGCACAGTGCCTGCCACATAGTAAATGCTGATGAAATTGAACTATTGAATCGAATACCTGAAAGTCTGGCCTGACAGAGGAACTGTCATGAAGCCTCCTCCCCCCTCCCCACTCCCCCTACTCCCATACCCCAGGCTCCAAATACCTCTGTGATGCCTGAAATTCTAATTCATTCCCTGGCAGGAGATGAGGTTAAAACTGCAGATATCGCTGAGAGAGGAAGATGCTAGGAGACCTCATAGTGGAGAAGGGAGGAAGCTTGACTGAGAGGCAGAAGACCTAGTTCTCATTCTCTGTGTGACCTTGGACTAGTCATTTCCCTCCAGGGGAGTTTCCTCTACTATAAAATGAGGGGATATTATGATCCCTAAGTTCCTTGTTAGATCTGCCAGAGACTGAAGTGTCTGATTTTTTTTTTTTTTCTGGCTAGGCAATGGGGTTAAGTGACTTGCTCAGGGTCACACAGCTAGTAAGTGTTGTGTGTCTGAGGCCGGATTTGAACTCAGGTCCTCCTGAATCCAGGGCCAGTGCTCTATCCACTGTGCCACTTAGCTGACCCCAGTCTCTGATTTTTGGATAAGGTCTGTGCTTAGAACAAAACCAAGGAACAAAGATTCTGTTCTATGTCCCCTCCCAGCTCTGACCTTCCCTGTTCTAAGGCACTCCCAACTCTCACACTCTAAGGTCCCTCCTAGATCTAACCTTCTTTGGTCTAACATTTCTTCCAATGTTGATATCCTATGTTCTAAGGTTTGTCTCAATTCTAAGGCCACTCCCACACCTGACATTCCCTGTTCTTGTTTTTTTCTTTTTAGCAAATACGTCTTGTTTTATGACATTTCTTGGGTAATACTTCTATCACCCAATTCAAGGGTTCAGTCAGAGCTGATCATGATATCTTATGGCAGCTGCCAATGGCCTCCCCACAACTCCATGAGCAGTTCCATTAGAATCAGGATCATATTATTTTTGCCTTTCCCTTTGTCCACATTTTGGTTAGGAATAACCAGTTCTGAAAACAGTTGGGTCTGCAGCAGCTGTAGGCTGGCTTTACCTCCTAGTCCTTTCTTGTTGGAATGATGGGAGACAGCTCCCAACAGCAGGGGTTGGGGTCATTGGCCAACATCTTAGAAACCACTCCCTCCCCTCAGTGGAACATCACTAAGGGTTTGCCTGGTAGCTGACATTATCCTTAAGCCGGGGGGAGCCCACAGCTCCCATTCTGGACCGTTCTTTAAGACGGGCTTGACAGAGCGGGGAGCCCAACAAGGCAGGGACCGATTGATTTGGGGGTTTTTCTTGGGAACGAATCCATCAGGAAGCTTCAGCCTACGATTCGGTAGCAGCCCTGACTGGTGAGCCATCTTCACGTACTCCTCCACTTTTGGATGTTCTTCCAAGCATAGACCTGTGATTCTCTGGGGCAGCACTCCCCCACCGGGCCTGATAAACTGACTCAGCAGAACGACATCCACAGTTATGCTTGTGTTTCAGATTCCAGAGACAGATTGGGCACTGGCCAGAGGGGTTAGGAGGATCTGGTGCCACCTTGGAAGTTTCTATGATTGGGCCTTCAATCTTCTCAAGAGGCCCCAGGCTGGAGGCTGAGCCCAACTGACTTGAGCCAGCCCCTCTAAGGAACCTCGCAGCAGCAGCCCACAACCTGACAACAGTGCCCTGAAGGCTGCCATCTTGAAGATCACCTGTGACTGCCTTGCTCTTGTATTTCTTCCCATTCCCTGTTCCAAGGCCCCTCCCACCTCAGATACTCTCTGTTCTAAGGCCCCTCCAAGCTCTGACACTCCCTGTTCTGAGGCCCTCCCAACTCTTACATTTTAAGGTCCCTCCTAGATCTAACCTTCTTTGGTCTAACATTTCTTCGAATGTTGATATCCGATGTTCTAAGGTTTCTCTCAATTCTAAGGCTCCTCCCAGCTCTGACATTCTCTGTTCTAATGTCCCTCCTGGATCTGACATTCTTCGTCTTACATTATATGGTTCTGTGACTTAATTGGCCATCAAAGCATATAAGAGATTGATATTGGGTAATTCAACAAAAACCTGTAATGTGTCTTCTGTGTGTGCAATTCTGCATCTACCGAATAAAGAGAAATAGACCTGGCCCTGTCCTCCCGCAGATTTAGCTGGAGGATAAGACTGGAACCAAACACACTCTGGAGAGAACAAGAGGGATGATGGGAGCTCTGAGGAGGGAGAAGTGATGAGGTGCAGCTGGGGAAGGGCTCAGGTGAGGGTCAACGAAGCCTTCATGTAGGATTCTGGGGCCTGGCTGTAGAAGGAGGGATGGCTTCCCCCAGAAAGGCCCCATGGTGTAGGGTCAAGGGCGTTGGATTTGCTTCTGACCCTGACTCGCTGTAAAACCTTCTGCAATGTACTCCTCTATGGGCCTCAGTTTCCTCATCTGTAACGGGAGGCAGTTGGACTGGACCATCTTCCAGCCACAATTTGAGGTCTGCTTGGGGTCTGTCTGGCAGCACGGCCCCTTCTCACCAGCCACCTCTCCAAGGCCCTGCCCAGCTGCAGGGGGCTAGCCTGGGCCTCACCACAGAGACCTGTCCACCTGGTGTAGCAGCCAGAGCACTAGAAATTACGACGTCATGATCCCTCTACATCAGGAGCACAGCATGGCCACCATCCCATCTCTGGCTGTGGGGCTGGACCTCAGTTTCCTTGAGTTGTTCCCCCTTTACTAAAAGAACTAATGTGAGCCAATGTCGGTGATGGTGGAAAGGGAAGGGAACAAGCATTTATTAAGCACCTACTATGTGTCAGGCTTTGGGCCTGACACTTTACAAGTGTCGTATTTGATCCTCACAACAACCTTCTGAGGTAGGTGCTACTGTTATTCTCATTTTACAGATGAGGAAATTGAGGCAAGCAGAAGTTAATTAGCTTGCCCAAGGTCACACAACTAGTAGGGGTCTGAGGTCCAATTTGGACTCCGGCCTTCCTGACTCCAGGCCCAGTGCTCCATGCGCTGAAGCTGCCTCTGAGAAGGGTGAATGTCCTGATTCTTTGTCAAAGGGAGGGAATGGAGTTTGAGAGCTACTGTAGGCCAGGGAGCTTGACTTTGATTCCTGGTAAAACTCTAGAGTGAGTATCACTAATAACGATGTTGTCACTGTGACCTGTCAGGGCCACGGAAGGGAAACTAGTCTGAACTTCAACCCCTATCAGTCCCACCTCCCGCACCACTCCTTCAGCTGGACTGAATTTAGTCTGGGGTGCAAGGAACTGAGAAATCAGCCAGAGGTGAGAAAGTTGAGGCAAGAAGTGTGTGAAAGGGATCAGAGATGGTGGTTGTCCTTTGTTCTCAAAGAGGACCAAAGTGACATCACTGTGTTAAGAGTCAAGTTATAGTGTGTCCAACTATGGCTGGTCAGACCACTAGGAGCTTGGAAGGCTCTACGTACCACAGGTTGGGCACAAATAATCCACGTTAATATTTGGGGTGGATTCTCTAAATTTGCACATCTCATATTTCTTTTTTTTCCCTTTTTTTCTTCTTTTTTGGTGAAGTAGTAGGGGTTAAAGTGACTTGCCCAGGGTCACACAGCTAGTAAGTGTCAAGTATCTGAGGTCACATTTGAACTCAGGTCTTCCTGACTCCAAGGCTGGAGCTTTACCCACTGCACCATCTAGCTGCCCCTGTCTCGCATTTCTTTTGAGCTATTTCAATTCTGCTTTGTTCATAGAACATGGCGCCTTCTTTGATGAGGGCACACCGTGCTGGGCGGTCCTTCGCCAGCATCTCCCTTGACACACAATCAATCCCAAAGTTCTTCAGAGAGACCTTGAGAGCGTCCTTGTATCGCTCCTTCTGACCATAATGTGAGTGCTTGCCTTGTGTGGGTTCTTTGTAAAATAGTCTTTCAGAGAAGCATATATTTGACCTCTGAACAACGTGGCCAGCCCCTTGAAGCGGCACTCTCTGCAGTAGGGTTTGAATGCTTGGCAGTTTAGTTTGAGAAAGCACCTCAGTGTCCAGTACCTTATTTTTTTTTTTTCCCTTAGGCAACTGGGGTTAAGTGACTTGTCCCGGGTCACACAGCTAGTAAATATCAAATGTTTGGTCTGAGGCCGCATTTGAACTCAGGTCCTCCTGACTTCAGGGCCGGTGCTCTATCCACTGCACCCCCTAGCTGCTCCATCCAGTACCTTACCTTGTCAGGTGATCTTCAGAATCAGGCAATTCAGATGGAAATGATTCATTTTCCTGGCGGGGCGTTGATATACTGTCCAGGCTTCACAGGCACACAACAATAAGGTCGGGGCAGCTAGATGGCAAAGTGGATAGACCAGCAGACCTGGAGTCAGGAGGACCTGAGTTCAAAGTCAACCTCAGACACATAACACTGACTATTTGTGTGACTCTGGGCAAGTCGCTTAACTCCAATTGCCTCACCAAAACAAAAACAAAAAGCCAAACAATGAAGTCAGCACAATGAGTCTGCAGACCTTCAGCTTGGTAGTCAGTCTAATACCTCTCCTCTCCCACGCTTTCCTTTGGAACTTCCCAAACACTGAGCTAGTTCTGGCAATGTGTGCGTCAACCTCGTTATCAATGTGTACGTCCCTGGAAAGTACACTGCCAAGGTAAGTAAACTTATCTACAGTATTCAAAACCTTTCCATTGCTGTAACTGATGGTTCCACATACGGATGGTGTGGTGCTGGCTGATGGAGCACCTGTGTTTTCTTGGTGTTGATTGTTAGGCCAAAATTAGCACAAGCAGCAGAGAATCAATCCATGCTTTGTTGTACCTCAGCTTCACAGGCTGCTCAGGTGCACAATCATCTTTGAACAAAAAATCATGCACCAACTCTCCCTTCACTTTACTCTAGGCTCGTAGCCTTTTCAAGTTACATAATTTACCATCAGTGTGGTAGCTGACCTTGATGTCGTGCTCATCTTCATCAAAGGTGTCTGACAATGCTGCTGAGAACACCATGCTAAAAAGCACAGAACAAGCACCCTCAGCAGCCCTCACACCAAAGGTACTAGTCTTCCCTGAGCACACTCCACACCCCAGAAGACACTGAGTTAATAATTACAATAGCCTCCTAACATGTTTTTCTGCTTCTCTCCTATCCCATCCATTTTTCATACCACTTCCAGAATTATCTTTCTTTTTTCCTTTTTTTTGGCTCGGCAATGGAGTTAAGTGACTTGCTCAGGGTCACAGCTAGTAAGTATCAAGTGTCTGAGGTCTGATTTGAACTCAGGTCCTCGTGACTCCAGGGTTGGCTCTCTATCCACTGCATCACCTTAGTTGCCTCTGGTGGTTTTTTTTTTTTTTTTTTTTTTGGTGAGGCAATCAGGGTTAAGTGACTTGCCCAGGATCACGCACTGAAGCTGGATTTGAACTCGGGTCCTTCTTACACATAGGTCTGGTCAGGTCTCTCCTCCACCCAAAAATCTTTAGTGGCTCTCTAGTGTCTCCTGGGTAAAGTTCAAACTACTTGAGATTCAAGTTCCTCCATAACCTGGTGCCATCCTGTTCTTCTATTTCCCTGCATTCCTCATTTAAGAAAATCTTATCTCTCCTTGCTGTTCTCCGCAATTCGGCATTCAGTGGGGCATATCTTTCCCTTTTTCCTTTCCTTTTCCTTCTTTCTCCAGCTGTTTATAAAGCCTCATCAGAGAGCCAGTCTGCTTTCTTGCTCTTTTTCTTCAGAAAAAATTTTGGTTTCTGTTGCTGCCTCCTGTACGATATTGTGAATCTCTGTCCGTCCATAGTCCTCCAGGCACTCTGTCTACCAGATAAAATCTCCTAAATCCATCACCTCCACTTCACGTTCATAAGGGCTGTTATTTAGGTCACACCTATGTGGTCTATTTCAGTCTGAATTTTGCAGTAAGAAGCTCATGATCTGAGTCACCTTGTTTTAACTGACTGCCAAGAGCTTTTCCACCTTTGACTGCAAAGTATAGAATCAATCTGATTTCTACATGGATCATCTGGTAGAGAGTCACCTTTGGGTTGTTGAAAGAGTTTGCTCTGACCAGCAAGTTATTTTGACAAAACTCTATTAGTCTCTGTCTTGCTTCACTTTGCGATCTAAGGCCAAACTCAAAAATAATGAGTGATTTCTGTTTGAATCCAAGGCAAACCATTCAACATCACAGTGATACAAATCTCTGCTCCAACCACTGATGATGAAGAGGCCAAAGTTGATCAGTCCTATGAAGACCTACAACATCTCCTAGAAATAACACCCCTCCCCCCAAAAAACCACATTCATCATAGGAGAGTGGAATGTTAAAGTAGGACATCATAAAGTAGGATAATTGGAATGACAACAGTACACCAACTCAGACTGAACTGTGATCTCATCAGATGGGGAGTTTCCTTGGTTGCAGATCGCAACCCATCCACGCTTGTCTTTCCATCCTGTGACTTGTCCACATCCTCCCAGAAGTTTGCCACAGGATCGGAGGTCCTCTCCAGCTTAGGGAGGGTATCAGTGGAGAACACTCTAGCTGTCCACCTGCCAGCCATCTCTCATTCTTGCCCGTTTTTTCTTCTTCCATGATGGTTTTTTGCTGCTGTTCTTTGGAGTCCCTCATGGTTGTCACATCTTGTTCACATCCAGTTGCTTCCTCAGGGCCCTGCACGAAATTCACTTATAATTCTTCTCAGGTAGCTATGTTCCATGTCTTGCTTACATATAGCAACACCAGGATGGCGTTAGTATTAGAAACGTGCACATCATATAACTTTTGTGTATTATAGCTGTTTGCGTTGGTAACTAGGATGTGTGTCTAAACTTTCTATCCATCCCGGTGCTTGGCATTGTGCCCCGAAATCAATCAATCAATCATTCAATCAGCAAGTGCCCACCAGCTGCACACAGCAAGTGTTGAATATTTCTTTAATGAATGAAAAAGTGAACGAATGGCTGGAGAGGACCCGGTGACTGACTGGCAGTTAAGTGGTGGGAGCACCAGGAGTCCAAGGTAGCTTTCCCCATGGCGGTTCACTCGAAAGAGCCATTTGCTGGGTCAGGGCAAGGAGTCCTCTGCTTTCCTGATTAGATCTTGCTCACAGAAGTGGTTTTATCTTCAACCAACTCCCACTTCCCAGAGGCTGCAGTCCATTGTACCTTGTGCAATCTTCATTTATTCTGGAGCAAATGCTTGCTTTGCACCACCAGGAGAAAAGTCAAGCCAAGGACCAGCAAATGACATAATATTCCTTTGAAAAGGTATTTTGCTAGTGTAAGGCAGGTGAATTTTAGTGTGTATAAAGTGGATTTTTTGTGATTCTTAGAGTTTCTTCCCAGGATCCATAGCCATAACAATTTCTACTTCTGAGGTGTTAGATATGAGTTCTCACGATCATGGTTCAAAACAGGTTCTACTGCGCGGTCACAGTAGATATAGGGGTGAAGTAATACACAACTGTGAGGCAACTGCTGGCAATATGCCTTCTTTTGTCTGTTCCTCAAAAAGCAAGTGGGTACTGGTCAGTGAATGGGGACCCCGGAGGGGTGAATGCACAAGCTGGAATGCTGTGCGTGCCTTGATCGGCCCCCATCGAGGCTTGGGAGGGGGAATCTGTGCGTTTGCCTCAGCCAGCCCTCATTGAGACTTGAGGGGATTTAGGGGAGTGCTCAAGTTGTGCTGCTCTCGACTGACCCTCACGCCGGCCCCTGCGAGAAGGGTTGTTAGGGAATGCTGTAGGAGTTGGTGCTCCCATTATCAGCAAACTCCCTTGGAGAAGACTAGACTAGAATAAAGTAAGCTTATTTAACCCCTTATTATGACTCCATTCCTGTCTTCCCGTCTGACTGGATCAAAAGCAAACCTGCTAGTGAGGAAGGTGCTAGAAGTTCGCCTGTGTCTCCTATCTAAGAAATGGCATAGTCGATGCATTTACTTGTCCAACAGCTAGTTAATATGTTTGCTACACGGAAAACTAACTTGAGAATGTGGTTAAAAAAATATGAACTCCCTCCATCTTTCAAGGGCCAGTATAGAAAATGATTTACTCTTTCCTTAGGCTATCTGTGTGTGCTTGAAGGAGTAGGTATGAAGTACTAAAAGGAAGTCATTGTGATGTTGCGGACAAACCACTATCTAGGCTCAAGTCTCAGCTCTGACTCAACCTGTGTGATCCTCCTTCCTCAAAGTCTGACTTATTTCATTTGTAAAATGGGGAAAATAATTCTTGCACTGTCTATATATAAAGTAAAATAATTGCAGCCCTTGGAAAGTTTACATTGTATTGGGAAAGATGGCTATTATAGAATATACCTAAGATATAAGAGGATGGGGGGTTGGTACTCATAGCTGGGGGGTGGGGAATAAGGAAAGGTTTCATGTAGAAGGTGGTGCTTGGGCTGAGCTTCTGAAGGAAGTTAGGGGTTCTAAGGGGTGAAAATGAAAGGAGCATGGATACTCCAGGCTTGAGAGATGGCCAATGCAAAAGGACAAAGATGGGAAAAATAATAATTGGACCAGAGTGTATGAAAGGGAGTAAGGCTACAATGGCAGGCTAGGGCCAGGGTTCTCTGGTAGTGTGTTTAGAGGGGGTCAAAGAACTTCAGAGGTGTAAAATTTTTTTTAATTAATTTATTTTTAGTTTTCAACAATCACTTCCATAAGCTTTTGAATTTTAAATTTTCTCCCCCTCCCTCCCCACCTCCCTCCTCAAGATGGCATGCAATCTGATACAGGCTCTACATATATTTTCCTATTAAACATGTTTTCACATTAGTCATGTTGTAAAGAAGAATTAGAACCAATAGGAGGAACCACAAGAAAGAAGAAACAAAACAAGAAAAAAAAAGAGCAAATAGTATGCTTCAATCTGCATTTAGATTCCATAGTACTTTCTCTGGATGTGGATAGCATTTTCTATCATGAGACTTTTGGAGATGTCTTAGGTCCTTGCATTGTTGAGAAAGGCTAAGGCTATCAAAGTTAGTCATTGAACAACGTGGCTGTTACTGTGTACAACATTCTCCTGCTTCTGCTCACTTTACTCAGCATCAGTTCATATAAGTCTTTTTAGGTTTTTCTGAAGTCTGCTTCCTCATCATTTCTTACAACACAATAGTATTCCATTACATTCATATACCACAATTTGTTCAGCCATTCCCCAATTGATGGGCATCCCTCAATTTCCAATTCTTTGCCACCACAGAAAGAGTTGCTATAAATATTTTTGTACATGTGGGTACTTTTCCCATTTTTATGATCTCTTTGGGGATATAGCCCTAGAAGTGCTATTGCTGGGTCAAAGAGTATGTACATTTTTACAGCCCTTTGGGCATAGTTCCAAATTGGTCTCCAGAATGGTAGGATCAATTCATGACTCCACCAACATTGCATTAGTGTTCCAATTTTCCCACATCTGTTCCAACATTTATCATTTTCCTGTTTTGTCATATTAGCTAATCTGATAGGTGTGATGTGGTACAGAGATGTAAAATTAAAATTTGATTTTAATTCTATGTTGCTAAGACTTAATCAAACTAGATTTAAAACTCCCTTTCCAAGGAGGTTCCTTCCCCTTGTAAACTTCACTCACTACTCACTTTCCAGAGAAACCTGATTAATCTCAAAGGTAAAATCTTATCCATTTAACCTATCGTAGCAACTACCAACACCTGGGAACCTTTGTCTTGTGACTTGAATCATGTCTCGGCTGTGGTTAAGGGGGTTTCAGAAGGAGAGGTCCAAACGATGCAATGTCATTTCTGACTATGTCACTGATAGCCCATCAGAAGAGACACTCAGGTTTGCCTGCTCATCTTGCTTGTCATAAAAGGTCCTCTCAGACCTCACTCAGTGTCTTTGCTGGCCTAACTGATAAAGTGATCCTGCTTGGAACCTTGTTTTCAAAGGGGGCAGAGGCCATCGATGCACCCTCAACAGGAAGCCCTGAAACGACCATTGCCTGAAGATCTGCAGTGGGGGCAGGGGCATTCTCTGCTTTTACTGGTTTAAGCAGGTTTTCTTCACACTAAATTTACTTCTGTGCAGCCCAGCCAAAGAGAATGAGTCACTCTGCCTCTAGTTTCTCCTTTCTGCCATCTGTCTTCCTGAGATGCCAAGAATGACATTCCTGACATAGATGTAACCATATGACCCAGAGAAATTTTCAGCAATCCCCCCTATTGCTTCCTTTTCTGCACTCCCACCTGTGTCTTTGCACAAGTGGTCTTCCACATCTGGCAGGCCCTCCTTCCTCACTGCTACCTCTTAGAACGCCTGGCTTCCTTTGAAGCAGAGTCCATGAAGGCCTTCTCTGACTCCATCCCCCATCCCAAACCACCTCACGGTCCTTAGAGCTCTTCCATGGCAATTACCCGGCCATGGGCAGTATCCCTCCAACAGAACTGAGTTCCTGGAATGTGAGCAGGGGCTTGCAATGAGGAGGCATTTAACCAATGTTGAGCTTAAACCTAATCCCTCTTTTACATGATAGGTTTTAAAATAGTTGGAAGACAGCTGTTGTGTCCACTCCCTGTTTTCTCTTCTCCACACTGGATAATCTCAGTTCCTTCAATCTAACTTCCACATAGAAGGAAGCAAACCAAGATCCCCCATAATTCTGGTTATCCTCCTCTGGTCAACAGATCCAACATCTAGACAATCATGTGACCCCAAGATCTGAACATACTACTCCAAACATAGTCTAACCAGACTGAATTACTGCCCTGGTGCAGGGCAATGCCCGCTGCTCTTAACACAGCCTAAGATGGCATTAGCCTTCCTGGAGGCCGTGTTGGGCATGAAGCCTCTAAGATTCGGCAATCTTCTTAAAAAAAAAAAAATTGTTGTTTAGCCATGCTTCTGCCTTGTACTTGTGAAACTGAATCTTGAACCTGTTTGAGACTACATTTATTTATCCCTACTCAACTTTATCTTTAGTTTTCTAATTTCAAGATTTTTAAAAAATCCTGATTCCATCACGCAGTAGATGAGCCATCCCTCTTGGCCCAGGTTTATTATCTGTAAATGGTGGATGTGAAAGCGTTTAGTAAACTGGCATCCAAATGAAGATGATCCGCTGGGCCCCATATGCCAGCCTTTCCTTCCAGGCCAGTCCAAGGATCCCTGGCTTTGGAGTCTGAAGATCTTGGGTTTCAAATCCTTACAACTTGTGTGACCTTGTTTGAGGTGCTTAAGCCGTCTGGGGGAGGGGGCTGAATTAGACGCCCTCAAAGCCCCTTTGCAGCTCTGAATCTAGGATCCTATGATGCTCAAAGCAGGACGTTTTCCTAAGGTCAAACCTAAATTTGCTTCTTCTCCCTGTTTTTCCTCGTAGCTCCCTCTGGGGCCACGGGGGTTAACCAAGTCTGTCCTTCTTCCAAATGACTGCCCTTCCAATGAATAAATCGGTCATAAGGCCATGCACTCTCCCCAACTGCACCCTCCTGTCTTGTCTCCCCTTTTCACTTCTAGCTTCTCCAGTCGATCCTCTCCAAGATAACCTTGCAGCCTTTCATTGTCCTGGCTGGTGGCACCTAGAACTCACCATGAGACCCTCATGGTGCTCTGACCAGAACAGAGGGCAGGGGGACTGCCATCTCCCTTGTTCAACGTGCTATTCCTTTTTTAATTGCATTAATCATCTTCTCAGATGCCATATCACAATCTTGACTCATCTATATTAATGTTGCAATGAGCTAAAGTCTTATGTTTGTTGACTAAAGAAACTAAGAGTCTGAAGGGAGTCTGGAGATCATGTGATCCAATCTTCTCATTTGACAGGGAAAACGGGGAGCCCAGGTGGCTCCAAGGAGTGTAGACAATTACTTTTAGAGGTTAACATCACAATATTAACAAGTCTGATGCAGGCAATCCAAATTTTATTTAGGTCCATCACACTTCAGAATTGGGAAATTAACATTCCTTGGCCTCTAACAAAGACTGCGGGTGATTTATTTCAAGGTAACAATCATCAAGGTCTTTTGTCAAAGTATCTTTTTCTCAATCAGTTGTTGATTTCCCTCCCATCCAAACCTTCCATTATTTCAAAACAATTCCAATACTAGAAACACTGAACAAGAGGCAGTAAAAATTAACCCAAATCATTCAGAATAGAACTGAACAGAAATGTTGTTTACCATGACAAGAGAAGGAAACCTGTAAGTCTAGAATCAGACTCTCAGGAACTGGAAGGGACCTCAGAACATTTAGAGGAACCTGTACTAAAACAGGAATCCTGGACAAAGTGAGCCATTCAGCCTCTCCTAAGACATCCCCAGTTTTTCACTTCGGGATGGCTCCAATGATTAGGGAGTTTTTGCTAACACAGAGAGTCACTCTGCCTCTCTTTTCAAAATTATTGATGCACTGTTTTCATAGACAAGGCTTATTCACCCTCCCCCTGACTCCCTCTCCCTCTCTGTGGCACCTTCCCTTGCAGATAAGCAGGGCTGGTAAATCTCTTGCAGATCTCTCCACTGGTCCTAGTTCTGGCCTCTGGAGCCTGGGGAACAACACTGGTTCTCCCTGCTCATGAGAAAGAGACTTTCAAACACTTAAAGGTATGAAAGTTTTCTCTTCTCCAAGCTAAACGGGTTTTGTTCCTTACCAAGCCTTGTCCCAGAGTGAAACTGTTACCACCATAGGGAGGCAAAGGAAAAACAAAGACAAAATACAGGGACCCAGAGCTCAAATGCTACGGCATCAATGCCTACAGAGTTCCAGCTCAAAGGTTAAGATGGCGCCTAAGAGACATTCAGGCTTGAGGCTGAATACAAAACAGAGTAGAAAGATCCAAAGAACAGAAATCTGCACTTACTCTTTCAAATCCAAGCTTTTCACACTGTATTTGGTAAACTGCTCAAATTCTACCCTTAGAGCTTCATTCCTTGAGTTTAGAGTGATTCTTGGGACAAAGCAAAAACCCTCGAGGGAAGTGTTGCTTTTTAAAGCTTTCTCAGTCCAATCCGAAATATAAGGGAAAGGACACTGGATTAGAAATGACAGGGCTGGTTAGAATCCCAGTTTTGCTACATGCTGTAGAAGGAGGCGGCAGGCCACTTTTCCCCTCTGGGCCTTGGTTTTTTACGAAAACTTGGGTAACATGGTGGGGTGGGCTAGATTATCTGTTCAGGTCCTTTCCAGCTCCATTGCCTCTGAGGAATTGGAGTTTAATACAAATATACTTTCACACAAAAAAATATAAACACATAGTGAATCATTATGGCAACAATACCACAGATTCTCAGCATTCAATGATTTATACAGTTATATGATCTGAACATTAAATTATACTATTGAACAACATGAACCAGAGCCTCCAAACAACTTTTTGCAAGTTTTTCTCAGTTACTAGGATCCAAGCAGATCTGGATCCATTCAACCAGACCTAGGAAACACCATACTTTATTTATATCGAGGAAATACAAACACACATATCCAGGAGGTACTGGGAGACCTCTTGTCCAAGAAACCATTTTTAAAAAATCGCTGCAGTAAGCAAAAGCTAGATTATCTACTTAAAATAAGTATTTTTGTACTGGGAGGGCCTAGCTGTACTCCTCTTCTTTCCCTCTGCCCCACAACCCGTAACAGCTCTCAACCCGTTGGCTGGTTCCCTAACTGAATTAGCTTAAAGTCTTAGACTCCTGCTGAAAATCAAATACTTTCCCCAGGGGGACTCTCTTTTGATGTTTCTTTAGCTGAGTCTGAGTTTCAGGTTTTCCTGACAGTCGGCTTTGTAAAAAGGTTCGGGCTAGGGGGAAGCACTGAGCACCTCGGGGACATCTCTACTACAGAGTGAAAACCAGAACTGAGGAGAAGACTAGAAGGACCCTAAGCTCTCTATTTTGTTTACGGTCTACTATCCTAGATACAGGTATCCAAAAAGATTAGGTATTCTCTGCAAGGACCCTTAAGAAACATCCTAAAGTCAAAAATGGATGAGTTCAAGTCTAACTATTAACTTGATAATTTCTAGGGGTTTCAAGTGGTCTTTGGATATGGAAGTAAAGAGATGTTTGCTCAATTCAGGGCTCTCTTCCATACTAGCTATGTGTTCCCATTTGTCACCATGGACAAGTGCTGCTGCACCTGCTCACAGCTGTACTGCCCCCACTAGAGGGCTGGGCCTTCATCTGTACTAGAGATAGACTTTAGTAGGTGGCATAGCTGGGATAGATATAAAACAGAAAACTGCTCTTCTCAAACGATGAAGAATTAAGTTCAAATATTGTCCTTTACATTACAAACGCCTGCTCAACAGAAAGGAATTAGTTTGGCCAAAAGGATGAAATTTTCTGGAAGAATGGCATCAGATAGGCTACCTGGTGAGCCCAGAAACTCGAGCCCCTCCCACCCCCCCATGTGGGAAGCAGTGTGAAGAGGTGGGATAAGGGGGTTGCAGAGGGGACCTGTGACAGGTGAGAGGCTGGATTAGATCTGCCTCGTGAGGAACAATGACCAGGGTTCTAGAAGGAGGTGTAAAGAGCAAGAGAGAGATGGAGAATAAGCTACACTGATGTCATATGAATGCCAAATAAACACATTCGTTAGCATCCTTGAAACCCAGAGGAAGAATGACCAGGTGGCAATAAAAGACAGAAGTTACTCCGATAGCGTACTGGACAGGTCCCAAGACAGTTTCTTACCTCTCTGGGCTGGATGAGCTAAGAAACTGTCTGCATGTAGACAATGAGTCATATAACTTCCATCTACATGACTCTGAATACTAAGACTTTATGAGCCTCAAGAGGAATTGAGATATAGCTCTGCATAGAAAAAAAATCGCCTCTCATACTCTTGCCTCTAAGTTCTGAGTCACAAAAGGTTTTTCAATTAGCCTCCTGCATGATTTAGGTCAGTAAGTCTGTGCTAACAAGAACCACAACTGGATTTGGAATAAACCCCTGGGCCCAGGGCCATGATAGGGAGGTTGCTTCTCTTGGCGTTATTTCCTGCCCCCAGGCAGGGTGAGAGGGGGTGGGGACAGATTCAAAGAGCTCTCAAGTCCCTTTCTGTAAACTCTTCACCACTTATAACCCACCAAAGACTGGACTCCTCCTTCCCTAGGACACATCGCCCACACTGCTTTCTGATTGAGCAGGACGGAGCAGCTTCTTCCAAATCATGAGCCTCTAATTTGGAACTGCCTGAAACCTAGAATGCTTAGTTAGCACTTTACAGTGCATAATTCAGCACCTGAAAACTGGCCCCAGGCTGCAAGATGGAAGGATGACCCCTCTGGCTAGGATCAGTCAACATGGCGAGGGGCACTGGAGATGCCTTTTCCCCAAGAGTCTCGGCCAATTCTTGCCATGCGGCATCCCCCCCTGAACGATGGTGCCCACCAGCTGTTGCAGTCAATACTACCCAAGGACCAAACCTCCGGAAAAGAGATAGCCTGGAGCAAGTCTCTCCTTTTCACCTCTCAGAGGGGATCCCTCCCAGCACAAACTCTATATACTCGATGGGCCTTACGTTTCTTTTAACCCTGGAAAACATTGTGAGTCTGTAATGTATTAACACAACATTTATGCACAGAGTGATACAAATAAAACTTTAATGACATCAGCTCGCTACAACTGAAAATTAAGGGCCTCAGAAAGGCTCCTCATGCTGACTTCTAATTTCCAATCACATGTTTATGGAGCCATTTCTGAGCACTGACATTATATCCTATCACATACCTTCTATTAATTAGGATGTTTGCCAGGATCATGGTAGAAGGTTTGAGGGCAAGAGGACATGCTTACAGAATTTAGTCAAGGGAGAAATAAAAGCACACTGCAAACATCAATGAAAAGTAGTTACAGATAGTAAGTCGTGAGATCCCAGATGTCTATCTCTCTCCAATTACTAGAGAATACATGGTGAAGTGACAGACAATACCACTGTCCCAGATCGGTAACTTTATTTGCATTTTATAGCTAATTTCTTAAGCCCCATATCCAAAGAAACCAATAAAAAAAAGCCACACCAGGAACGGAAAGTTAGAATGTCTATTAAATTAATTTTTCTTTAAAAAACGTTAGATTTCTGAATGAGTGAGATTCACTTTGGCAGGGAGAGGCCCGGCTTCTTCACGCTCCTCAGCCTGGCATCGAAGCGCCACAAGGGAGGAAGGCGGGCACTTGGGCAGCTTCTGTCCATTCATGAACTCCAAGTCTCCATAGATGCTCAGCTTCTGAAATGAACCGAGGCATTTTAAGACCATGTTGCCTGGGCAAGTGGGCCCACCCCCGGCCGGGCACAGTAGCACTGAGCCCACCTTCTAAGCAGCGGAGGGAGCTCCCCAGGGGCCCAGTCAATGGCCTCTGCTTTTAGGAGGATAGTTAACAGGATTTCTAGACACCTGAAGTCAGGACACTCAGGTCTAGGAATCCAAAGGCCCAAGCACCATTCCAGGCTGACTGAACGAGTTCTCATTCCATCGATATGTCATTTCAGTCAGCCCAGCTGTGAAACGAGGATGGGGCGGCCCCCTTCCCTCTCAACCCTTTACAGCTAGGTCCAACGGGAATCCAATGAAGTGGCTGCATCTATTCAAAGTCTCGCTACTGGAAGTTGTAATTATGTAAAATAAATTAATTGGTTCCAGACCAATGGAAATATTCAGTGTGAATTCGAATGAAGAGATTCATTATTTGTACTAATCAAGACCTAGCAGTATCTCACTAGAATATCAGATGAATCAGAAGGCCATACAGAAAAGCCTTCCAAAAGCTTAGTCAACACTGGCGGTGGTGATGGCTAGAACAATGCCATCATTACTCTATTACCAAACTCATTTTTCTCCATCACAAGGGGATCTGGGGGAGGGCACTAATTCTAAGCTAAGAAATCTACACTCTGGTCTGGCTCCAAGACTTCATTAACAACACACAGAACAGGTGACAGAATTCTACCCTGAGCTTTCAGGAGGAACCAAATGAATGAAGAAGTCAACAAGCTAAAGAAAATTCCCATTCTGTGTCCTTCCCGTGCCCACTCAGGGCCCTCATGGTCCCATCTTCTTTCCAAGTTCTGCTGGCTTCTTTCCTTGGCTCCAATACCACAGAGCTGGGTAGCTCTAGCAAGAGGGACGGTGACTGGAGTTAGGATTTACACCCAAGCTCCAAGGATAAAGCGACCCACCTGCACCAGGCTGCATACCTCAGAAATAGGAAAGGACGGCTTCACCAGCAAATGAGCTAACATGTGCACAGTGCCTAACACAGAGTGGGCTTATGGCCTTCTAATCCTTGAAGGACAGTGTGAGTGGGTATTGGTGCCACTCATGGAGACTGCTCCTTTCTCCTCTCGCAGTTAGCCAGACCCCTCCTTAGGCTTCCCCTGAAAGCCTCCAGGCCATGGTAAGCCCTGGGGGTGTCACTCTGGTGTGGTGGGGGGAGGCAGAGTGTATCAGACAAGGAAGGAAGGCTGCCCTGGATCACACAGAGGATACAAAAGTTTTTGCTTTGCTGATGATGCAGAGGAGTGGAAAAAAGAGAAAGCAGGAGCTCAACAGTCAGGAGACCTTGGCTGCAGTCCTGCTGGGACCAGATGAGCTCTAATGTCTAAGATGATTTGATCAATTCAAGGAATGTAAAAGCAACATGGAATACCTTAACGGATGAACAGTCATACCATTACTACAAGGCATCTCACTGCCTCATTTTTATTCTTAACAATCACGGTTGGCTGCTCTGTAACAGATTTATGGAAGAGTAAAAAGAAAACCTTTGCATTAAAAACCCTGAATAGCAAAGTAAAGTAAAACAAACAAACAAACAAACAAAAAAGCTCTTCGAGATACTCTGGAATTCTTGGAAGGACAAAGAATCCTGTGCCCTGAATGAACACACAGTAATTGGTAATGAGTGTCCTCCACACGGACACTTCATAAGCCTCTGAGACTGAGAAAGACCTCTCCAACCATCTGTTCCTCTCTCTCCCTGTATTCCTTAATCACCAGACACCCCTCACCCACTTCCCCTTGGCCTCTCACCTTCCTCCTCCTTCCCTTAGATCTCACACCTCAATCCTACTTTTGCAACTGTGCTCCCTCCCTCCCCCCAGCTAAGGAGCTCATTCCCTCCCTTCCCACCTGTTCATCCTCATCAAGGCCACACCCTAGCTCTGTGCTCTTGACCTCATCCCTTCCTTCCCTAGCGGACCACTACCTCCATCATCCCACCCTCCTCCTCCCTCCTCTCCCCATCGATGGCTTCTTTGACTACTACCTTCAGCCATGCCCAAAGCTACCACAGAACCCATGTCAGCCCTTCAAATTCTTCTCTCTCTCAGCCAAATTCCTCCCCGCCTCCTTCCTCAACTGAAACTGCCCTCTCCGATGTTGCCAGTCACCTCCTACCTGGCAAACCTGCTGGTCTTTTCAGTCCTCCTTCTACATCTGCCTCTACTGACACCACACTTCTCCCTTGGTCATCCTGCCTGCCTGTCTGCTCCTCCTCAGGTTTCCTGCCTGGTTCAGCGTTTATATCAAAGCACCTAACAGTGGTTATTCCTAGCATCTCTGTCCAAGCCTCTCTTCCCTTCTCTTTCTCTCCCCCACTGCCCTCCTCAGTGACCTTATTAATTCCCACAGATGGCCAAGAGGGTCAAATGTAGCCGGTAGGTTGAGAAGAATGAAGTACGAAGAAGGACCATTAGATGTGATAACAAAGAAGTCTGGCAACTCTGGAGAGAGAAGTTAGGCCAGCCTACGGAGGACTGAAAAGGATATAGGGACAGGTTTTTCCTTCCTAAAAGTCTGACTGAGAAAAGCAGGAGAGGAGGAAAGTTTAAGGGCATGGGATGGTGGGGCTGAACCAAGGTGGTTTTACTTTTTTTTGGGAAAAGGATCAGGGATATGGTGGCAGTCTGAAAGAAGCAGGGAAGGAACCAGTACTTGGAAAAGGTTCAGGATTTGAGAAAGAAGGATTGAGGGGATGGGATCAAGGGCACACGGAGATGGGGGGAAAGACAAAATGAGGGTGAGGTCAAGGGGCTGTGAACAGACTGAAGGGAGAGCTCACCCTTCCCAAGAAAGGGGGGACAAAGTCCTTGGCTAAAGGGGGAGAGATGAGGCTTGGAAAAGCTGTGGGGAATCAAAGAGGAAAGCACTGCAGGCCCAGCTCAAGTTGGCTAAGGTGAGGGGAGGGCACAGAGATTGAGGGTGGGAAGAATGTGGTCCTGGTTTGGCAGAGGTCAAGAGGCGACATGACATAGGGGTGAATGAGCAAGAGACAGACTGTGCAGAAGTGACGTGAGATCAGAGCAGGAGGGAAATGCACACAACGTGGAATGGCCTGAGCAAGTACTGAGCATGAGGGGTGGGGGGGGGCGGGGTGTCACATGAAGGCAAACGCAGGGTTCCAGAGGGCTGAGGCAGAGGGAAGAGACTGAATGGAATGAGAGCAGGTTTGGGGTAGAAGAATGCCCATATTTTAAATTAGGGAAACAGAACGATTGTAAGTAATGGTTACATCTAGTGGGTGGCTGGTCAGCAGCTAGATGGCACAGCGCTCAAAGTGCTTGGCCTGGAGTCGGGAACGCAAATCTTGCCTCGGATACTTACTACCTGGGTAAGTCACCTCACCTGTTAGCCTCAGCTTCCTCAACTGTAAAATGGGGATGACATCAGCACCCACCTCACAGGACTGTCGTGAGGATCAAATGAGACGTTTGTAAAAAGCCCTGCACAGAGCACCTGGCACACAGCAGGTGTTACATAAATGCTTCTTCTCCCTTCCCTGATCAAGGTGGAGAGAAGGCCAGGTAATACAATGTAAGGCAAAGGAGGAATTGGGTGGTTAGGGAGTTAAGGGCACAAGGACATGGCCATCCTCCCTGCACGCCATCTCTCCCACCCAATGCCTCTCCACGCACAGCCACTGCTTTAGTTCAAGCCCTCATTCCCTCCCACGTGGGTCACTGCCTCCTAGCTGGCCTCCCTGCCTCACAGCTCTTCCCACTTCAGCCTCTTCCCAACAGACACCAAAGCCCGCATTCCCCGACGCAGACATCGGAGGCGCAGAGACTCTCCTGGCCCCAGTCTCACCAACTGGCTTTCCCCGCAGCCTGCTCCTCTCTGCTCTCCCTGACCCAGCCACACTGGCCCCTTCTGATTCCTCCCCCACTACCTTGTATTTATTATCTTTATTCTTTTTGGACTTAGATATGTACTTGCTGTCCATAACAGCTGACATTTATATAGCACTTATGATGGGTCAGGCACTGTGTGCTAAGCGCTTTACAAATATTATCTCATTCAATCCTCAAGACAACCTTGGGAGGTAGGTGGCATTATTACCCCCATTCTATTCTACTTGACCATGGTCACAGTAACTACTAAGTGTGTGAGGCTAGATCTGAATTCAGATTGCCCCGACTCCAGGCTTGGCAGGCTACCCACTGCACCACCAAGATGCCAGGTATAGCCTTCAGTGCTTCGCACACTGCCTGGAAGCTGCTAAGCACTTCATAAATGCTTGCTGACCTACTTCAAGTCTCCTAAAATTACTGACAATAATGCCAATTTCCACACTTGGGAGTAAAAACCCAATCCAACCAATATCTGCCCTTATTAGTCCTGCCTGTTCCTCAGAAGCCATGTGCGGGAGGCAGCGGCGGGCCCTGGGGACAACCAGCAGAAAAGGCCTTGAGTCGGCGTGAGGTTCAAGAAGCATCCCGGCTAGATTCAGAAAGACTCATCAGCAGGGTGGCTGCGGTCACAAAGACTGCCTGCCGGACAAAAAGGAGCTTCAAGCTGCAATGGGGAAGGAAGGACAGCGACGAACATGATGTCAGCTCCAATTCCAAACACATTTCCCTTGCAGCCACCTTGTGAGACAGTGCAAATGATACCCATTTTACAGATGAGGACACTGTCACAGAGCTCCTTCTAGGGAGTCAGAGCAAGTGTCCCCTAAGTCCAAGGCTCCTTCCACGACTCCAGGTCACCTCAAGAAATGGCAACAATGTGGCCGGTGGCCAATGTGCGCTTCTGTGGAGATTCAACATACCTGCTAAGGGCCTGCCTCAAACACCTTCTTACCCGTCAGGTTCCCCTGAACCTCCATCTTCAGCCCTCTCTGGAGGATGGCTATGGAGGTGCGGTGGAAGCCAGCCCAGCATTACTGGGGACGACGCCCAGACCTGCCATCGTGTGTACAGAAGACAGGGCTCATGACCACGTTTGGCCCAAAGCCAGGCTGACAATCCCAGGTGGCAGGTGAGGGCAAAGTGTTAAGTCAAAAATCAGGCAAGCTAGGAGAATGCAGTGACGTGGACCACAAGGCCACTGCTGCCGTGGACAGGAAGCCTTTCCCATGGCCCCTCCCTACCAGAGGCACAAACACGCATTATGTGGGAGGGATGTGGTCAGAAGAAAGGACAAATGCAGACAATCACTCAGCGCGCCTAAGGCTAGGCTAGCAGAGGAACCTGGCTGCGGAAGCGTTAATCAAAGGTGCTCAGTCCTCAGCCCAACGACCGAGGCTTGAGCAGCCATCTCGATCCTGCCTCTGCCTTCCCAGAGGAGGGGGTAGTGAGGGCAAATGGTCCACGATGGCCTCTGGGGACATGTGTCATTTACTGAACAGCTCGGCTACGGAGCTTCTTCCCATGAGGAGGCAAGAAAGAGAAAAAGAATGTTTGGGGGGAGGTCAGGAAGACTGGGGGCCATTAACTCCCTGATTCAACAAGGAGCCTCTGCAAACAAACACACTCAGCCAGCTCTACCCCTGCTCCTGCCAATGCCCGGGGGTGCAGCTACCACCAGGGCTTCTCCCCTGGGTCCTGGGTGAGGCACCTAGGCAGGGGATTTGCCAGAATGACCTGTTTTAGGCATGTGCTTCCTAGGGAGATCCCAGTCAAACTGGACAGTCCCCTTGATTCTGCCCTCCCCTCCTGGACACAGTTCTCCCCCCCGACACCTGCAAACTGGGGAGAACCATTCTTAAAGGACCACTGAGGCAACAAGAGCCGGTGCTGGGGTCGAGCTGTGTGGGGAGGGGCTGCCTGGGGGATCCCGGCCCTGGGTGTACTCTATAAGCTCCGTCGTCCTCTCCGTTTGTCTCTCTCCTGGTAGTCAACACTTTCTAAGCCCAGCTCATCCCCCTTCAAGAGCACAAGCTCCATGGGGCGGGGCCTGCGGCTCTCACCACCAAGCATGTCTTACGACTCACAGGGAAGACGTGCAGCCGTATGGGGCTTCAAAAGCAAACCCACAAGAAGAAAATGAGCTAAAAATGTCTCGGGCCTTCTTGGACGAGGAAGGGAAAGCTCCACTCCTCTTCTGCACTCGGTGTCCACGTCCTAGGTCTTACAAGGAACACAGAAATGCGCTCTCCCCACCAGGGCTTAGGTTCTCTATTAAACCAACAAGACGGCACGTGTAAATTATGTGTAAATTATGCAGAAAAGCCTCCACTTCAGGACCACTTCTCCAAGGCACCCAGACCCTGTGCAGAGGTCAGGACTATCTCATGCTTACAGCTCCCAGAGGAAAACAGAAGGAAAGGGTTCAATGGAACAACAGTACCTGAAATAAACGGCTCTGGGCCAAGAAACCTGAATGTTTCCAGCATTAAATTTTTGGACACTGTTGTAGCAAATAAACCAAGAAGCACCCATCATGGCTGCACTACCTGCACAGGCATCCCTCACTCTTGGGAGAAGCACAAACTGACTGGCCAGCAGAATTCTTCGGCTCAGACGGCAGCGTGCTGCAGACGTGGGGAGCTGGTGGCTCGCTTACCCTCTAGGCTGGGATATGCCATTTCTCTTGGACGGTCCCATCTTTCTGAGTCTTCCTCCTCTCTGGCCTGTCCTTGCCAGCTTCCAAACTTGGAGACATCTTGGACTTTTACTCCTGTGATGCCCCACACAACTGGTTGCCAAGTCTTACCAAAGTCTAGCCCCTAAGGCCTCTTCCATTCAGCTTCTCCTCTCACCAACCCTGGCCTGAACCTTCCTAATCGTCCAGAGCCTCCTCTCTCCGATCCATTTCTTTTTTTTGGTTAGGCAGTTGGGGTTAAGTGACTTGCCCAGGGTCACATAGCTAGTAAGTGTCAAGCATTTGGTCTGAGGCCGGATTTGAACTCAGGTCCTCCTGACTTCAGGGCCAGTGCTCTATCCACTGCACCACCTAGTTGCCCTTCTCCAATCCATTTCTAAAGCACAGGTCGAACACTGACCTTGCCAAGAAGTGCCAGTTGCCCCCCTCCTGCTCCTAGGAACAAATACAAGCCCCTAGGCATTTATAGCCCCTCCCAGCCTACTTCCCATTTCAGGCCAGCTGCATGTTACTGTACTTCCCAAGTTCTAGCTGCTCAGCCCCAGCTGCTATTCCTATAGGTGACAATTCATCTCCCACCTCCAGGCCTTTGCATACACAGGTTATCCTCTTGACCTTTCTCTTGTGCCCTACACTCCAGTCGAACTAGACTGCCTGCCTGGCCCCTGAACACAGCCGAGTGAACTAGCCATGCCTCAGCTGTGCATAAAACTATTGAGGACCCAGACATTGGGCTCTCTGCCATCTGCCCAGGACCAGAACCTCAGAGCTTGCTGCTGCCCTCCTTAGTCTCCCCTTGCCCACAACCACACCCCACTGACCCTAAGAGGGACAAAAATCACCCATCAGCTGGGACCTGGGACTTTTGTCTGGGTCGAATGTCTGAAGCAGCCCGTGCTTCTGAACGTCCCCTATCATTCTTCCAGGGGCCACCTCAGAGGACGGCCTGGAGAGGCAGAGGGGGTAGGCGGGGAGCACTTCTTCTCTAGGCAGACAACCCTGGGCATTTGGTGACAAAGCCCGTTCCACGCGCTTTCTCGCCTCCCACTCACCTCCGGTGGGACGTACTGCTCCATCGCCGTGGCAACAGTGGCACAGCAGATCCAGAGTAACACCAGAACCGAGAGCACGAGGGTGATGGTCACAATCCAGCCAGAGTTCCTGACAAACAGCAGGGGAAGCACATGAGAACCCCAGGCCCAGAGGGACGACTCTTCCTAGCCAAGAGCAGACCAAGCCTGGCTGCGAGTCTGCCCAGGAGGCGCTGCAGCCTCGGGGGGTGGGGGTGGGGGGGCTCAGGCCAAGCCGTGGCTCCTTTCCTGGCCACTGTGACACGTCTGATGGCCACGAGGCTCAGCAAGGGGGATTCTGTGCTGCTACCAGAATGTAAGTGCGTGTCACGTAGGGACTGCCTCACTCTTCGTACTCAGATCTTCAGGGCCCAACTCCAGCGCCCACCCGTGGGCTGTGCTTACTCGCTGCCTGCGTCTTGTAATGAACAAAGCTGTGCTAGGAGCCACAGTTACCCGGAGCCTGAGAAGGAAGGGAAAGGGGGAGGGGCGCTGCTTGGTGGGCAGGGCATTCAGTTGTTTCCAAGGAAAAAAATCATTTCACACAGTAGAGAAAGTTACATTATGCTGTTGGAATTCAGCAGCACTACTGCAGGAAAAAAGTGAGGAAGTACACGTGCACAGGTATAATTAATTAAATTGCATCTTAAAAGCGGGGAGCATTACTGCTTACAAGAAATCTTCCGGGGAAGCCTGTCAAATGACAAACCCTTTGGTGATGGGGAAACGTTATTTTCTTGGCCTTTTTAGTATATTAACTTTTAAAGAAACCAAAACAACCCTGAAAATACAGGGAAACATAGGGGAAGTGGTGTGACTGTCAAAATCGCTCAGACCCAAAGCAGAGCATGTCTCTAGAAAGATAAATAAATTAGAAATACATACAGAGAGAGGCATTTAAAAAAGCTGTCGCTTTCTCCATCTTCAAAATAGCCTCTGTGGGCCTGAGAGCCTGCTGGCTGTGGATTTGCTGAAACATCAAGGCATAAGTCAGATCAGACTCCGTCATTTACCAACATTCACAAGCCTGAGAAGCTGGATTTGGAGCCACAGGATTTGGGTTTGGCTCCGAGCTCTGTCACTGGCTTGCTGTGTGACCCTGGGCAAGTTCCTTCACCTCTCTGTGCCTCACCTTCCTCCCCTAAAATGAAGGGCTAGGGCAAAGGGCCTCTGAGGTCCCTTTGAGATGTACCCGCAGGAGCCTCCTCCCAAAGGCCCCCAGTGTGCATGGATGAGCAAATGGGACAATATGAACACCTTATGAGGAACCAACGTATTTCCAGCAAATGAGAACCCAAATGCAGCAGCCAATTATCTATCACTGAAGCACGCTGGCATGCTACCTCATCTGCTGCAGGAGGGGGATTCTGGTTCCCTGGTGCCTATAAGAACCTTAAGAAGAAAGTTACCCCCCACCCCCCCACCCAGTTTCCCTATTCCAAGGGAAAATGTGGAGTTAAGAAATTGTGTTTTTGCTCTAGAGAAGCTAAGAACCAGCAAACGTGGATAAAAGTGAACTCTGGCAATTCAGACTGATTTCTCAGCACACAGCAGGGAAGGAGGCAAACACGGAAGCTTTGTTCTAGTGTTCCAGGTCACGGGTTTACCTTCAGGCTTTGCTGGGAAGTTGTGAAAGCCCAGCTTAGACACAAATGGGCAAGATTTGGGCCTTACTCCTCCATTAAGGCAGATAATTTGCGGTAGATAATCTACTATCAATGCTTTTATGCCAGTTTTCAAATAAAACTTACAGGCCATTTTCTTTAAAGGTGCATTTTTCCCATGTGGAGAATGATCCCGATCCACCTGGGCTGGATACTGAATTTCTGGTTTAGACTGAAAGAGAATCAAAGGGACGGTAAGCAGCCTGACAACCAAAGCCCATCCAGGAACAAGTTCACTCTGGCTGTCTCTAAAAACCCGTCATTCTAACACAATGGGCCCGCAGACAACTCAGAAATGGAAATACTCCAGCCATGACCCTCACCCTCGCTGAAGCCCTCATCCAGCTGCT